GGACTCTCAAATTCTGCCAAAAATCAAAGCTGTCCTTCAGCTCTAGGGTTACCTCCGCTTTACGTTCACTCTCACCAATGGGCTTTATCTTCACAAACTGGTGTTCTGAATTTCTTATAAGAACCCGATTAAATAACTGATATGTTAAAAAAAAAAATTGGGTGGTTTTTTTTTTTGGTGTTAGGTTGTATGATTTTATGTATTTTGGACATTAATCCCCTATCGGATATATCATTGGCAAATACTCCTCCTCTCCTCCCCCCTCCCCCCGATGCCTGAGGACTTATTCCTATAGTTGATTTCTAGTTTCATGCCACTGTAGTCAGAAAAATGCTTGATGTAATTTCAGTCTTCTTGAATTTATTGAGGTCTGTTTTATGGCCTAATATGTGGTCTAGCCTGGAAAATGTTCCATGTTCCTTTGAGAAAAACATGTAACCTGCAGTTTTGAGATGCAATAGTCTATAAATGTCTTTAAGTCAATTGAGTCCAATGTGGCAGTATAGCCATTATTTCCTTGATTTTCTGTCTGGTGATATGTCCATTGTGGTAAGTGGGTTATTAAAGTCTTCAACTACTGTTACCAGAAAGGACTGGGATGCCTCAGGCCGGCCTGTCTTGTGTGAGTTCTTGACTTCCTGCAGGCAAGATTTCACACCACCAGTCCAGGTGATTTTGAGAGTACATTTATTAAAGCCCGGGACAGTGAAACAAGAAAGGGCCTAGGACAGTGGTTGGAAAACCGCGCCTCGTGAGCCACATGTGGCTCTTAGGCCCCTTGAGTGTGGCTCTTTCACAAAATACCTGGACGAGTCTGTTTTGAAGAAGTGGCGTTAGAAGAAGTTTAAGTTAAAAAAATTTGGCTCTTAAAAGAAATTTCAGTCGTTGTACTGTTGATATTTGGCTCTGTTGACTAATGAGTTTGCCGACCACTGGCCTAGGACAGAAGAAGCAACAGGTGAGGGAGTGGGTGGGGAAATGAGCCCAGGTCGGGCTGCTTGGCCTCATTGAGAAGTCAGAGACAGGAGGGCCTTGGGGACAGGGTCAGGGGAATAGCCCCGATGAGCTGTCGCTGCCCATTGCTCCTGGTTGCAAGTCTCCTGGAATCCCTTAGAGATTAGGAGATGTACGTCTGTCTGTAGGGGAAGAAGATGGGAAGGGAAAAGTGCAGGCATCTTCTTGGAAGGGAGAGCACTTGTACTGGGACCTTCAGTTGAAGAGTTTTAAAGACTGGGGGTGCAGGGGAGGTCTTAGGGGAGGATCTCAATAGAATATTCGTAGCTTTTTGCTGATGCACCAAAAGGAGATTTTTCCTCCTAACTTCATCAGTCCTTGGGTGTGGTTGGCAACGGCGATGATTGGATTTCTGCTCTCTGTTTCCCTGAGAAGGGTGATTTAAGCCATTTATCCTCTTGTTGGGGGAGGAATGTAAACCATTTACTCTTTTTTTGTTGTTGTTAATCATCACCCAAGAATATTTCTCCCATTGATTTTTAGAGAGAGTAGGAGAGAGGGAGAGAGACAAAAACGTCCACGGCAGAGAGACACACCGATGGGTTGCCCTTGACTGGAAGGGAACCCGCGACCCTTCACTGGCTGATGCTCAAACTGCTGAACCAAACCGGTTAGGGTTAAACCATTGGCTCTGAAGTGTCCTTGGTTACAGAAGACAGGATTGTGCGATCTACTAGATCGCTGTAAACCGCTTGGCAGCTTACCTATGTCTCCGTTTCCCTAGTCCACTTGTCCTGGCTTACTAGCCAGTCTCGAGGGGTTGGGTACCGTGAACCCTCTTTGAGCTCTGAAAGGGCCGTATTTGAACCTTGTGAATAGTTTTCACTCTGGCTCCCTTCCTTTCCAACCTCACCTTCGCGTTTCCCGGCCTCATTTCTTAAACGTGTCCTTTTCTCTTTGGGTTTTCCTCATTGGTTTTGCACTTTTACCCACGTCTATTTGCAGTTCCATTAGGAGGACTGTGATCCCAGCAGTAGGCTTTGTTCCCCCGGTCAGCAGCGGGAGTCTCTGACTGTTCTTGGGATGCCAGAGCCTTGACTCCTCAGCTGGGAGACAGCAGAGTCCACAGAGTACCTTGTGGGCGTGTGCATTTCGTCCTCCCAGCGGGTCCTCTTCCCCCTTTTCCTCTCCTTTGGACCCTGCTACTCAGAGGTAGGCAATGCCCTGTGGCACCTGAAGCTTTTGCAGGGTCAAAGCCCCAGGAGAGAATGTGTTTCACCCTGTCTGGTGCGGGCAGGAGGCGGAGGGCAAGTGCGTCCCGAAGGAAGCAGTGCTGGGAAACGGTGCTCGGAGGAGGGAGAGGGAAGCCAGACAGTCTCCCTCTTTCTAATCGTGTGTCTGGACCTTGGTGTTCATTTCCTTGTACTTTGTTTCTAGGCTCTTTTTGCTCTTGCAGAACTCACAGGATCTCAAAGAAATCTGTAGTCAGGACCGTGTGCTGCATTTTTGCGGAGGAAAGAAGCCGGAAGAGGAGTGTCTCCTAGGAACCCAGCGCTGGAGGAACGTGAGTCGGGTTTGTCCTTTGTTGTTGTTCTTACGTGTTTGTCTATCAGTTAAGTAGTGTTTGTACTCACAGTTTTAAATTTTATGCGTTTGTGGAACGCATAAAAATCTCAGGTTCCCCTTTTTTATCCTAAAATGTACTATAAATGGGACCCCTAATCCTAGTTACAGGGAATACATTTTTAAAAATATATTTTTATAGATTTCAGAGAGGAAGGGAGAGGGAGAGAAACATCAATGATGAGAGAATCGTTGCCTGGCTGCCTCCTGCACGCCCCACACTGCGGACTGAGCCCTCAACCTGGGCATGTGCCCTGACCGGGAATCACACCGTGACGCCCGGTTCATAGGTCAACGCTCAACCACTGAGCCACACCGGCTGGGCTACAGGGAATAATCTGAACTCTCCTCTGATCCAGAAGCTTCTCAGACTCCTTGGTTCATTGTTTCAACTGCCTAAAGGGCCTGAAACAGACTCACCCCTCCTGCCATTTTGGCTATATTCCAATCACACTTCATTTATGGATCCCGAATGTTGAATTTCATGTAACTCTCATGTGCCTATAAAAAAGAAATAGTCATTATGAACAACAAATATGTAACTATCAACAAGTGAATCTAAAAACCCAGGGAATTAAAAAGCCTGATGAACAATATTAACTGTTGAATATAATAGAATCAGAGGTATGGAAGGGGAGTGGACTGACAATTCTCGGGGAAAAGGGGAGAGGGGGATGTGGGAAGAGACTGAACATAAACTGTGCATCTATGGATGAGGACAATGTGGGGTGGGGAAAGGGCAGAGGGTGGGGTGGGAACCTGGTGGAGGGGAGCAATGGAGGAGGGGGGGAGAGGAACATCTGTAATAATATGAACAATAAAGATTTATTTAAAAAAAAATAGTCAGAATCACTTTAAAATGGAGTCGGAGCACTCATCCCAGAGGGACTGCCTTGCTCACCTTATGTCTGAAGCCTCTGTGATGTTAGAACAGGCACAATAACCTTTGGACTGGGCCTAACGGCATTGTGTCCCCAGCAACTGTTTGCAGAGATGACAAGAAACCAGATATTGTGACTTCAGGGACTGACCGGACTGAAAATCAACAACGTTCTTTAGAATTAGCGCCCCTGTGTTAGCTTGTCTGCACCTATAGAAATTCCTTCTGCTGGTGTAATCGGTCTCCTCTCCTTTCTCATAAATACTCCTGGGCTTTTAATGGGAACACTAACTGGGTTTCTTTTTGAATCAGTGCTTCCCAATAGCTGTTCTTTTGATCTCAAATGCTTGTTGTCTTTCACTCTGGCCTTTTATCTTTAGGTGACATGTCACAAAACATTCTTCTTCTGTTGATTTTTTTCAACTATTTTAAATGTAAAAACTTTTGGCCTGTGCACCTAAGGGTTGAGGGTTCCATTTCCAGTCCAGGGCACATACCTGGGTTGCAGGTTTGATCCCTGAGTCCCAGTCAGGGCAAGTTCTGGAGGCAACCAATCCATGTACCTCTCTCTCCCCTCTCCTCCCTTTTTTCCCTCCCCTCCCCTCCCTTCTGAAAATCAATAAGAAAAAATATTCTCTGGTGAGAATTAACAACAAAATAAAAAAACACTCTTCACAGGCCATACAAAAACAGGTGGCAGGCTGAATTTGGCCTACTGGCTGTAGTTTGCTGACCCCTGACTTAAAAGACATTTTTTTCTAGGTCAACTTTGAACTGGGTCATCTGCCAAAGGCATTGGTTAGAATCAGTTAGGAAGTGAGTTATCCATCTCCTTGTGAGTCTGTTTTCAGCTGATATCTGTTCTAAACACAGGTTATATCATTCCTGTGGCCTTGTTCCTGACACATTACTCTCTGTGAGGGCATGCTGTCCATTATTCTTCCTTCACGTCTTTGGCCATGGCTTTTCCCCGCCTCTGCCATCCCTCCCCTGTCTCCTGGCCTCCATCTCCCTCCTTCCTGCTCCCAGCACACCCCAAACTGATACCCGGCCCTTTGGGAACCCACTCAGAGGGCCACCTGCCCCTCAAGATTCAGCTCATATGCCCGTGCCTCCTGGAAGCCCTGCTTCATAGATAGGATTAAATGTTTTCTTCCTGTGCCCATAGTATCTTAGGTTCATTTCTATTTTAGCACTTGCTGTATTGCTGCTGTTATGATGTCAGAAACAGTTGCATGCTGGTTGAACACCAAATATATTTACGAGTTGTCACCTTTAGTGGACTGAGTTGTTGGGAACAGACTTTTGGGTCTGCTCATCTTTGTAGCCCCAGAGCCTGACGTTTAGAAAGTGCTTAATTTGTGTTAAAAAAAAAAAAAAAATCATGCTTTTGTGGGCTGTACTGAGTTTGATGTAAATCAAAATACTTTGACATTCGTAGGCAAAATTGGGCCATTTCATGCTTATATTTTATATCCTTTAACATATTTATCTTTTTTTTTTTTTTTTTTTTTTTTGTCATAGGCAGAAAGTTCTTCTAAGGATGGTGTCCCACTCAGAGTTGAGGAAACTCTTCTGCTCGGCCGATGCAGTGTGCTTCGACGTGGACAGCACGGTCATCAGAGAAGAAGGAATCGACGAGCTGGCCAAGATCTGCGGCGTGGCGGGCGCCGTGTCAGAGATGTAGGCGCGGTGCTGACCGCTGGATGGAGGGGAGGGGTGCGAAAGAGATGAGCTCCTGCATGGCCTGCAGGATCGGAGCCTCAGCTCCCTGTCTTTCGTCCCTGGTTATGAAACGGGCAGGACGCTCTCTCTTCCTTACATAGAGCTGTGTTGGGACGTGGTCATTGTCTACTCATCCACTTTTACTCTGCAGCTACTTAGGGCAAAAAAGTTGCTTCTGACAAACAAATGTGGGTGAGACACTCTCTTCCCTTGGCCAGGGGACAATGGCCGTCACTAAAGAGGACGACTTGGGCGGGTCCTCCTGCGTCCGGTGCTTCGTGTCATGGTTGAAAGTGTGGCCTCAGTGGTTGGCTGGAAAGCTAGGTTTTAAAAAATATATATTTTATTGTGTTTTTTTTTTTTTGCAGAGAGGAAGGGAGAGGGATAGAGAGCTAGAAACATCGATGGGAGAGAAACATCGATCAGCTGCCTCCTGCACGCCCCCCACTGGGGATGCGCCCGCAACCAAGGTACATGCCCTTGACTGGAATCGAACCCCGGACCTTTCAGTCCGCAGGCTGACGCTCTATCCACTGAGCCACGCTGGATAGGGCTGAAAGCTAGTTTCGGTTCAGAGTCTCTCCGTGGAGGCCTGGCCCACCTTAGTGCCATCTGCAGTCGCCAGGTCATGGGCCATTTCCTGCTGAGCTGCGTTTGATACAAGACATGCCCTGAAATATTATGTGATTCTCAGGCAAGCCTTCAACACTTTGTTCTCAGGCCTCGCTCTTGGGCATCAGAGCCTGGCTGCTGTGCAGTGGGGCTCTGGGCAGCACCGTACTCATGGTGGACGCTGTGGGAGTTGTGGGGGCGGGGGGGCCCAGTTAGGCATGTAGACGTGGGGAACGGCTGACGTGGCCGGCCTGACTGTGGGTTTTCCTTCCAGGACCAAGCGAGCCATGGGCGGGGCCGTGCCCTTCAGGGCCGCTCTCTCCGAGCGCCTAGCGCTGATCCAGCCCTCCAGGGAGCAGGTGCAGAGGCTCATCGCCGAGCACCCCCCCCACCTGACCCCGGGCATACGGTAAGAGGAACGCTGGTCTGGGTATATTGTCTATCAGACCTGCATTTTGGGGTGCATCCTTCTGAGGGCACCTCACCATTCCTTTTATTCTTTTGATGGGGACAATATAATAAGTTTAATTTCAAAACATTTTTTACTGTTGATGCTATTATAGATGCCCCCCACTTCCAGCTCCCCCCTCCCTCTGGCCACCACCACATTGTCCATGGGCGGTGCATGTATGTTCCTTGGCTAATCTCTTCACCATCTTTCCTGTCCCCCCCTCGCCATTACTTTAGAGTTCCCTTCTATGTGGTTCTTTTGTCACTTTATGTAAGTGACAGTGCCCGTGTCTGCCTTCCCGCCCTCCCTAAGGAGAGACTGAGTCTCCTCATCTTGTGCTTCTTGGTTTAAGGGCAGAACACAGTTGCGGAATGGTTTCCTAAAAACGGTCAGGTCCCACCCTTTCACGTTTAAGTGCATTTAGAAAAACATGTATAAAACATCAATTCACCAGGCAATATTCTTTGTCCAATGTACCTTGGACAAATGCATTCATGAGAAAAAAAATTATGCAGAGATTTTAGATCCTGTTTATGTTTTCTCTTCTGCATTAACCAGTGTTTGGTATTTCCTGTTTCTTTTTTGCAGGGAGCTCGTCAGTCGCCTACAGGAGCGCAACGTTCAGGTTTTCCTAATATCCGGCGGCTTTCGGAGCATCGTAGAGCACGTTGCTTCAAAGCTTAATATCCCATCGACCAATGTGTTTGCCAATAGGCTGAAGTTCTACTTTAATGGTAAGCCTTGACCGGTAACATTTCCCCTTTCTCATCAGTTTTAGTTTTCAATATTCTAGGCCAGTGGTCGGCAAACTCATTAGGCAACAGAGCCACATATCAACAGTACGACGATTGAAATTTCTTTGGAGAGCCAAATTTTTTTAAACTTAAACCACTTCTAACGCCACTTCTTCAAAATAGACTCGCCCAGGCCGTGGTATTTTGTGGAAGAGCCACACTCAAGGGGCCAAAGAGCCACATGTGGCTTTCGAGGCGTGGTGTGCCGACTGCAGGGCTGGGGAATGTCTGCTGGAATGCAACCTCAGGGAAGAGTCATCAGGGTTAAATACTGAGATAAAGAATTATCTCGACAGTTATCTTTTGCTCCTTGGAATCCTTTGCTTAGCAAAATACACTTAGGGCATCATCTCTCCTAGCTGTGATATTCATATAGTCATCTATCAGGATATTAGTAAACTGTTAATTGCCACGAGAGTCACATGATTTGTTTTGTTCTGCATTATATCTCCGTTTTATGAGTGCTCTCGTGTGTTTGAACTGATTTAGACTCAGGAAGGAGAGTTCACTTGCTAGGACGTCACTGCCCTGTAGCTGCCTCTGCAGGTGCCTCTGGCCCTTTAAGGACCATCATGGACCAGAGCGGTAGTTTTCTATTATCTTTTTGTTGTTGTTGTTAATCCTCACAACAAGGATATTTTCCCGTTGATTTTTAGAGAGTGGGGTGGGTGGGGGGGTGAGACAGAGAGAAACATCAATGTGAAAAAGACACATCAATTGGTTGTCTCCCACATGTGCCCCAACTGGCACCAGGGATCTAACCTGCAACTGAGGTACATGCCCTTGACACTCTAACACTGAGCAAACCGGCTAGTTTTCTGTTATCTTAAGATGTCTCCAGTTTTGTCAAGGGATGGCTGACATTCTTAAACCAAATAATCTTTTTTTTTTTTTTTAATATATTTTATTGATTTTTTACAGAGAGGAAGGGAGAGAGATGGAGAGTTAGAAACATCAATGAGAGAGAGTCATCGATCAGCTGCCTCCTGCACGCCCCCTACTGGGGATGTGCCCGCAATCAAGGTACATGCCCTTGACCAAATCGAACCCGGGACCTTTCAGTCCGCAGGCCAACGCTCTATCCACTGAGCCAAACTGGTTTTGGCAAAACCAAATAATCTTAATTTAACAATTTAAAATGTGTTAATAGAACACTTTCAATCGATATGAAGATCATTAGAGAAGATTATGGTAATTACTGTAAGAATGAAATAATTGATCAAATATAAGTTGAAATCTTATCTGAGATGAAATTACATATTTATTTATAATTTTTAAAATATATTTTTACTGATTTCAGAGAGAGGAAGGGAGAGGGAGAGAGTGATAGAGACATCAATGATGAGAGAGAATCATTGATCTGCTGCTTCCTGCACACCCCCTACTGGGGCTCAAGTCTGAAATCTGGGCATGTGCCTTGATTGGGAATCGAACTTCAATCTCCTGGTTCATAGGTCAAGGTTCAACCACTGAGTCACTCTAGCCATATTACCATGTTTCCCCGAAAATAAGACATCCTCCGAAAATTAAGACCTACTTACAGGTTTCCTTCTGAGTGAAATATAAGGCATCCCCCGAAAATAAGGCCCCTCTAGGTTCTGTCTCAGAATGTTATTGGTCCACTGATTCTGAAAAAAATGGAGTCACAAGAAATTCACCAGGAAATTCTGGAATTGGATTGTTATCATGATGTTCCAGAAGATGATGACATGATTGTCATTGAATAAATGAGTAAATTCTTGATACTGTAGGATTCACAGTTTGTCTGGTTTGTGTTGACAACTACCATACTACCGTGCCATATACAGGTAATAAATTTCCTTTATTTTCAATTAACAATAAATGTGTACCGTATTCTTCTTCATGGAAAAATAAGACATCCCCTGAAAATAAGACCTAGCGCATCTTTGGGAGGAAAAATTAATATAAGACACTGTTTTATTTTTGGGAAAACAGGGTAGCTTTGCTGGGTAATCTTGGTTGTAGGTTCTTGCAAAAATTAATATGACATTGTCTTATTTTCGGGGAAACAGGGTACTACTTCATGCTGATCTGCTACCTTAATGTGGCTTGAGAATTAATTCACTATGAGCTTAGAGGATAAAACTTACCCAAGGCAGAACACAAAGGAGTCACATAAAGTGACATAAGGGAGTAACCTTGTATTTGTAATTTGAAAGCAAAGCTTGCTTATTCTGAGGAACCGGTGTGGAACTCCGGGCTGTGTCACTTCACTGAAGACCATCCCTAGCTTTTTCAGTGACCTTAAGTGAGGGTTTCATCTATGCAAAACGCTGATCCTAGGGATAATTCTGAGTGTCTAACAGTTTTAACTTCTCTTTCAAGGTGAATATGCAGGTTTTGATGAGACGCAGCCAACAGCTGAATCTGGCGGGAAAGGAAAAGTTATTAAACTTCTAAAGGAAAAATTTCACTTTAAGAGAATAGTCATGATCGGAGACGGCGCCACGGACCTGGAAGCCTGTCCTCCTGCGGTAGGTGCTGGGCGTCCTGATCTCAGGCTGGGCTTTCGTTTTGGCCGATTTAGAACTCAGTGGGACTTAGGAGAGTTAAACAAATTAAATATCATCGGAAGAGAAAAAACAATCTACTCTTGCCGAAACCGGTTTGGCTCAGTGGATAGAGCGTCGGCCTGCGGACTGAAGGGCCCCGGGTTCGATTCCGGTCAAGGGCATGCACCTTGGTTGCGGCCACATCCCCAGTAGGGGTTGTGCAAGAGGCAGCTGATAGATGATTCTCTCATGGATGTTTCTAACTCTCTATCCCTCTCTCTCTTTTCTGTAAAAAATCAATAAAAAATATATAAGCTCAGCGAGGAGGTTAAATTGGGGGGAAAAATTATATATAATATAATTATTTTTTTTCTTCTTTTTAAAAAGGCTTAACCCTGCCCCTTGTTTTGTCTTCTTAGGATGTTTTCATTGGCTTTGGAGGAAACGTGATCAGGCAACAAGTAAAGGAAAACGCCAAATGGTACATCACTGATTTTGTAGAACTTCTGGGAGAACTGGAAGAATAATCAATTTTTATACAGTTCACAACTTCAGATTTTTAAAAAGTTACACTGTTTGATACTGTTTGTTTACAATTGCCTACTGCAACTTAATGGATACATTTTGGTACTGATTTTTTGGTACTGATTATCGGTACTTCCAAACTTTAGAAAGTTGCTTTTTTCAAAAAAACTGTAGTTCAGTGTTATTACGGACCATCAATTACCTGGAGAGTTTTATAATCTGAATTCTTTATGTATTTTCCTACCTTTATTTTATTTGAAGGTTTTTAAAAGTGGAGAGTAAATTAAACACCTTCTCTACTGAAAATGTGGATTAGGCAGCGAGTTATGAGAAAGTTAATATTAAGTGAATATTAGTTTTCCCTTTGATACATAAATAAAAGTTTATCCATGTATCAGAATGAATTTGTGGAACTTTTATTTCTTCCTGTCAAATGTATTTCAATACTCAAACTTCAAGTGTTTGCGTAGAAACAACCTCAAGGCAGGCAAGGGACCTGGGGATGGAGTGGAGGTCCCTCTGAGCACAGGGCAGAGTGCTTGTCACCTGTTCCCACCACCAGGCCCCTACTTACCCACCCCCCCCCCCCACCTGCTGAGTGCAGCAATGGGCGATGAAGGATGGGAGCACGTTTATTATCACTTGGAATTTGTCATTTAGGGAATGTTCAAAAAGGCTTAAAACAAACTAACAATGGAGTCTTAAAAGTTCCAGTCCTAAAAAAATGGGTATTTGATAAACACATGAATGGGGGGGCGGGTGGGTGAGTAGGGGCCTTGTGGTGGGAACACGTGACAAGCACTCTGCCCTGTGCTCAGAGGGGTCTCCACTTCACCCCCAGGTTCCTTGCCTGCCTCAAGTAAAAGAACTGAAAACAAGTTTTACTCATTCTAGCAGGGTCAGCACTTGCCCCTAAATGAATTAAGAAATTCTCCTAAGAGGACGACAGATGAACCAGGTGACTCGGAATGACCTGGAAGCCAGGTTCCTGTCTATTTTGAGCAGTGCCAAGAAAAGGGAATTTCAGAACATGGCTTTCAAAGTATGAGATTATATGCTCTCCCTAGAGGAAAAATCTGGTGTGGATCAGTGGTTAAAGCATCAGCCCACACACTGAAAGGTTTGATGTCCAGCCCTGATCAGGGCGTGTGCGGGAAGCAGCCAATAGATGTGTCTCTCACATTGATGTTTCTCTCCCTCCCTTCTTCCCTCCCTCCCTCCACTTACTCTGAAAAGCAATGGAAAAAATACCTTCAGGTGAGGACAAAAATAAAAGATGGATTTGGGAAGAGGCAGGCAATGGGTACTGTGATTCAATAGAAGAGGCCAGAAGGGTTTAATATTGGAAATTATTTGAAAAATGTATAATATAACCAAATAATCAGATTTGGTCAAGTAATCGGGTAATTATTTAGCCAAATAATCAAATCGGATGAATCAGATTTCCTCCCGCATCAGAATGTCTATGCGAGAGACACGAGCTGGGCTTGGCAACATGTAAATGAGATTCCCAACAAGGAGGCGCTTGTTCCGCGGTTGTTCCTCCTGGTGAAGCTCCCTGGCAGCTCTCCTAGAAGCGTTGGGCGGCATTTGGACTTGGCAGTGCTGCGCTCTGGGCAGGACCAGGCAGGCCGGTCTGTGAAGGGCGCTGGGAGCTGCCTGGGCTTTGCCACCACCCAGTGTGCGTGAGCTGGAGCAGGTCCTCGCCGCCGGGGAGGCAGAGGCCTGAGGAGCTGTGGCCCCGCCGGGGCCTGCCATCCGCAGGGAGTGGCCTGGACTGAAGGTGCACACTGAGTGTGGCTCGAGGAGTCCGATCTGCTGAGAAGTCGCGACGCCCACAGAAAGCCTTTCAGAGCAGCGACAGCCCCTCCTCCGGCCCACGGGCTCCCAGCTCCCAGCCAGGGGCACAAAGGCAGCTCACAGTTCCTTCTTTGTTGTGTCCCAGGGGTGAGTTTGAAATGAGGCAACAACTGGCTTACCTCTTTCATGCCTTTTTTTTTTTTTTTTTTTGGTTAAGATCTCTTTTTTTATTCATTAAATTAATTGTGAAGAGATTTATAACATGCACAAATCTACTAAACATTAAGTAGTTTTTTAAAAAAATTCTTTATTGTAAGTCTTTTTGACTCATGGGGAACCGCTACACAATGGCTCTCCCGGGAGTGATGTATGTGGCTCCACTGGGACGGGACTCAGAGGCGGTGGCTTCCCTTCCCGTGACACGTCTGTCTTGTTATCAACACGGCTTATGTGAACAAAGCAGGTGGGAGTGGGAGTCATAAAATTAAGAATTGAAGTGTGTCATGGCATTAAAAACTTTTATTTGGTTAGAAAACCAAGGCAACCCCGTGGCCTTCCTCCCCTTCCTCCCCTCCATCTCCTGAGGGTGGACGCCTGCTAGGAGCCTTCTCTCTTGTGCTTGGAGACACGTGCTTCTGCGGCCACCGCGGGAGGCTCACCGCTGCCGCTCCCACAAGCAGGGGCAGGACGTGAGGGCTGGGCAGGGGCTGCAGGGACTCAGGTGGTCAGCCTCGGGAAGGGACGGCTCACACATGATGGCTTTTGCCTCAGGATCTTTATGATCAGGTTCAGAAAACCTGGGGAGTTATCTGACCACCAGTCAGATTTCCTGAGATTTTAACAAAAGGAGGGTTAGCCGTGAACTGACTCGTATCCCCTCCTTTGTTGTGGCCGGAGAGATAGATGCCTTTTGTCACGATGATGTACCCGCGGGAAAGGGAAAGGCTTAACAGGCAAGACATTTTCTCTGTGAACAACCTGGTCTAGAACCAAGCTGTTCGGGATGGGAGGTGTCTGAGAACCGAGGTCTGACTGTTTTACTCTGCAGACTCACATGTGCCCTCTGAACTGGGACAAGCTATTTTTCAAGAGCAACAGGGTCATCCTCAGCTCAAGTTCATAAAAAAGATCGCAAGCATGTCATACATGAAAAGTCAGATTTTATTGACTTTTATATGTTCTTGGAGAAAACCATTCACATATAAAAGTTTGAAATTTGATATGAGACTTATTCACACTTTATTTTACACATAAATTACTTAATTTGGGGATCACAATTTTTCATTTCAAGAGGACTTTTACACGATTACATTCACAAAACTGGCACACTATGTAAAAAACTAACGCAAACAGAGCCGGACAAGTATGCAGCTTTATGCCAACCGAAATCTCAGCGCGCACCACCCCTCATGCATGATTGTGGAAGTATCTGCTGTGACCTAACAGAATATTAATGGACAACGTCTGAGGTCATGAATGATTGTTTATAAAATAAAACCTTTCTCAAGTGCTTCTCATTTTGTTATAGAAAAATATCACAAATAAAAATTAGTGCTATTCAAGGTGTTCATTTCAAAATCACATGATACACAGGGTCAAGCCATTTCCCCTCTCGTACAGACATCACCACACACCGCGCAGGACCCAATCAGCTCCCAGGCTCCCTGGCAGCACGACCAGCTTAATGATGAGTCACTACTGACTGATCGACAATGGGAGTGAATTAATTGACAATGGGAGTGAATTAAAACAGTCAGGTATCGGGTTTACTCACCATTTGCTCCTAGTCAGACTCAAAAAAACTGCCAGAGAAACATGACAAAATTTGTATTTCTTCCTGATACAAGAAATTTGTCTAAAAATCTGTAACTATAAGACAGATTTGCTTTTTAAAAGAAACTATTAATATTTTTCCATGGTTAGACTCTTATTTAGAGAGGATTCCCCTTTTTAATTTGGGTCCTCTTCCCGAAGGGTGGGAAGGGTGGTTCCGGATTACCAGGTTTATTCAACAAACGCCGGGTGTTTCAAGGAGGACTGCAGCGCTCTGCCACAACCAAACGGTGAGAGTTTCCTTTTCTTGGTCGTATGTAAATTTTAAAGAAAAGGGGTCTCTCATAAGCTATGTACAGCAGTTTACACTTCAGTGTTTTTCACTTGACATACAATTAAAACTAACTTATGACAAATACTTGTCACATGAATTTATGGAGGCACATCTAAACTCTGCAGCTTTACTGGAGGGGTGAGGTCTTCTGTGGGATCATGATCCTGGATTCCATTTCCTGAATGAGTGGAACTGAACACAGGGTGAAGGTTACTGTGTTTGTTCTTTTCTGAACAGATAATGGTAAATATACATCGAACAGGTTTCTGAGAATGGTTAGAGTTGTGCTGCTTGAAATCACAGAGTAAAATACTGGAAAATACAAGATAATGACAGACCAGCAAGTATCCTATAAGATGTTATTAAAATTAGAACAGCCGAGACCGGTTTGGCACAGTGGATAGAGCGTCGGCTTGGGGACTCAAGGGTCCCGGGTTCGATTCCGGTCAAGGGCATGTACCTTGGTTGCGGGCATATCCCCAGTAGGGGGTGTGCAAGAGGCAGCTGATCAATGACTCTCTCTCATTGGTGTTTCTGACTCTCTATCTCTCTCCCTTCCTCTCTGAACAAAATCAATAAAATATATTAAAAAAAAAAAAAAAAATTAGAACAGATTCTGTCTAGAGATGTGCTTAATTTGTAGAAAATTAGGAAAATAGTGTTTTCTCAAAAGGTTCTTTGAACTAAAATAAACTCATATAAATGCAAGTAATGTTGCACCTGTTACTTATAAAACTCACTGCAGAATAAAACACACCTCTGAAAATTGATGAATGTGTAAGAATAAGCAACAAAAGACACAATTATATGACTTTTTTGAACTAAATGACTTATTTTTCTAGAACAAATTACTCTGATTTTCTTGGCAGTCCATGGGTGTAAATGTACCCATGTAACATGGCTGGTACTTATTACCTATATAGGTATGGCCGGGTTGTATTCAGCCTTATTTTTCTTATAAAGATCAAGCAGCCATGCTTTCATAGTACAAATATATATATATATATGATTATCCATGCACTCACAGGTATACATGTATATATATAAACACACACGAAAGTCTAAATATCAAGTTAAATTTCAAAATTACTTTTTAATTGCTGTATTAAATTGTAATGATTTTGTGAATGAACAATTTTGTTGAGAAAGGAAAAGTTTAGAACATTTTAAAAATAAATTTTCAGAGAATGTAGAAATGTGCAAAAAAACCTTAATGATATAAAATTTACAACATATAAGGGTCTGAAAACTGTACCAGACAACTACTATGTTAAAGAATGAATGTTCTTTATTGAAAAAAATATATATAATTATGAAAGAAAAACTTGACTCCCTTCCCACCCCAACCTTATAATTCACCATCTAGAACAACATACTACTTAAAAAAGCACCTATCGGCTTCGAGGTGAATGATGATAAAACTGCGAGAAGAATAAAATAGTACCTGTGTAATACACCAATTCTTCCCAGCCGTGTTTATGCCACGCTGCGTTCCGTATGTCTTCCCTCGTCTGAAGGTCCTTGTAAGCTGCAATAACCAGAGAAAAAACAAGCTGTAAACCAAACAGAATGCCCTACATTCTTTCATGCTCCACTAAGTACTGATCCAGCTGCTCACCCAGCTTTCACAGAGACTGCTTTGGGCAAAGTGAGGGTGAGTTTTAAAGACAGGCAATTGAGAATTCATCTCTGCATAGGAGGCGGAGTGGACACTTGGGACAGTGACTGGGGACGGAAGAGGAGGGGAAGGGCACTGCCTGAGAAGTCACAGGTGTAGTCTGGCGTCTCAGACCCTGAAACCCACATTGTTCCTGCCTGTCTCTGTGAGGCGGATCCCGGTGACTTCTCACCTTGCCGTCGCTCCCTGAAGCCTGGCAGAGTTAAGGGCACTGTCCTGTGTCCGCCACAGCCTGTCAGAGCTTTGCCAAGCACACTCTAGTGCCTGCCTCTGTCTAGCTCCAGACTCCTTCACCTGGGCGTCCCCGCTTAGACATGTAACCTGACCTATCCCCGCCTCCCTGTGCGGTTCAGCATGGAGCGTGTCCAGCAGGATGTGCAGGAGCCCCTCCCGGAGGCCGCTCCAGGCTCAGAGGAAGAGAGCGAAGAGGCTGGACTTTTCAGCTTATATCCTCTGGACAGACCATTCACTATCTAAAACATGAAAACTACTCCAGCCCTATCTCAAACCGATGAAGGTTAGATTTATATAATCTTAAAAGGCAGGGACACAGAACACATTTCTTAAAGATCTGTTTCCAAACCTACTACATTTGAAAAACGCTTATGAGATCAAATTTCAGCTAGCGAAAACCCTAGGACTCCACTGCCCCTGGGGTGCAGTGGAGGGGCGGTATTCGTGGCTCGTCATTTGGCGCAGGGTTTCCAATCTCCTGAAGGCCCGGGCGGCCGCGTGTGCGCGAAGGAGCTCCTGGAAGCAGTGATGGGTGGGGGCGAGGGGTCTCCTCTCCAGGCCCTGTCTGCAGGGTGCTTGAGGAACACAATGTAAGAACAACTTTTCTACCTCAGCCTACCCATCACACCTAGGCCCCTGGTAGATACTCTACCGTTCAGCCAGTCTGAACTGTTTGTAGTTTTCTGAGCCCTTTTCCTAATTTCTCATGTCTCCATCGCTGTTCTGGCCTTTCCTGCCCACGGTTACCTGCCAATCCCATCTAGATCATAAGTTCAGCCGCTATTCCACCTTCCATTAATGTTCGCCCTGGGCTATGATCGCACGCTGCCTCGGGGCATGTCTTTCCCGTTTGCTTTATCCCTCATCAGCGAGGTCACCTCACCTCTGTAACCCAGGCATGCCAGCCCGGCAGGTAGACGCGGTGTGGCACCTGGTGGGACCAAACAGGTCAAACTCACCCCTCGTTAACTGATATGGTCTGGAAATCAGTTAGGCTTCTCATTCCTTTGAACTTTAATAATAAAGTTTACAAATATGCCCAGGATGTTCCTGGTCCAGCAGGGAGACAGGCACCAATAGCCACAGCGGTGACACCTGGGGCCCGGAGTGACGTGCACTGGGGGTAGGGGTGGGGGGAGGGGGTCACTGAGTCAGGCTTGAAAGATACCAAAGAAGGAGAAGGCCAGAGGAGAACAAGACCCCGGCGGCAGTGAGCTAGGGCAGGGAGCCGTCTCGCCAGGTAAGATGCAGGCCTCCCTGAGGCGGCATGGAGAGGGTGCCGGGTCCAGAAAGGATGGGACGGACCATGCCAGGAAGGGCACTCAGTAGCTTCACCGTCTTGCTTCTGCCATGGTTGCTGACCTCACCTCTGATTCCTTTCACCACTATCCCCTCTCGGGTGACCAGTTTACCAGAAGTCTATGGACACTTATGCTGTTACCTCTCATTCCAGACATCCCAGAACTTAGCTTCCATTGTGACATTTGCTTTTGTTAGTTTCTGATTACTGACTTGAGATACCCTTTACTGCCCGGTACAATTAATTTAGTAATACACTGTGAAGTCCCAGTAATAAAAAATGAAGGAATAAAACAACGAATACCCCAAAGATGATGCACCATGTATAACTGCCCAATCTGAGAGAAGAATCCTCCAACAGCTTCATCACCGTCCTGTCTGAAGCGGATTGCACGAGCCCTGCACGAAAAAACAAACCCATGTTCAGACACTGAATTAGGGATGGGCACAAGAATCAGTCAAAATCCTCCATACTCGGAACAAGTTTTTCGGAATAAGACTAATTTTTTTTTAAATTACCAGATGCAATCAAAAGTTACTTTAATATATGCAACATGTTAAAGGTACCTTTCTATAGCTATATTAGCCATCTTTGTGGGTAGACAGTTAATGACTTAAAAACATGAGGCTATATGGTTGCACTGCTGATTCTTCACATTAAGTCAAGAAAGGTGGTAGATGACAGGACCAGGGAACTTAAGAACTGCTTCTTCCAGAACTCGCTGAAAGTGAGGGAAACCTGGATACACAGACACCCGAGACGCCACGGGGAGAACGGGTTTGAGCTGAAGGAAGCACACCTCCACAGCAGCTGGAGACAGTGAGCGGAGGATAGAAAGGCGGTTTGCAACTTCTCGGGAGGCACACAGGACCATGAGGGTGGAACTCCTTGGCCAGACAGCATCACGATCGGTTCTTCTTACCAGAGCAAACCACGAGGAGAGGGAGTGTCAAACGGCATTCACTGTGTATTGTGTGTGGAGGAAAGTATGGACATATGTTGTCTCTATCCGTATAACATGAAATGGTGATTAAATTGGTTGACAATTGGCATGTCTTCAACTTTCCTTAAGACTTCCTTAATGCAGAAGGTATCAGCTCTTCAAACACCTGTTCCAGGTACTTCATCTTTATATTTAGTGATTCATTTAAAATCATAGAAATATTTTTAAAATGTATATATTTTTCCAAAAGCAGTTTTCTAGAATCAAAGCTGAAAAAATTTCTATCAACACTATCCATGCTTTCCATCGTGGTGCCAGGGTTGGTAGAACTTGGGAAGATGGGTTTATTCTAACTCACTGTGTAGAGTGGGAGACATATGAGCAAGCATACCAACCTACTAAGTACAGGGACGATTTTCAGTTGAATTGATTAGAGAACTCCCTTCCTGGGGGCAAAATTCATAGCAACTGAATCAGAACATCTGCAAAGGGTGAGGGTGAGGGGTGGGGGATCAGAGCAAGGACAGCTGTGGGGGGAGGGAGGAAGCCAGGCTCCTAAGATCACTTCGCAATCCTCCGCTCTCGCCCACGTGACCCACACTTTCAGGTTCTTCTCTGGAGAAGGAGGATCTCTTGCTATTGTCCCCAGGGGTTATCCCCAAATGATATTAAATTCTTTAACTTTTGCATTTAGAATTAATTGATCAATGTCTTCACAAAAATTACAAATCTGATTGGCAAATTATTGAGATTAAGCAAATCACATTAACGTGCATTTTAACTCAGAAGGGAAAAATACTCCTTCATTGCCAGTGATAAATATTCAGGATTTTTCATTTCATTCTGAATTTTTCCAGCTCAGTTACAGTGGGCAAAGAAGACATTCTTGCCTTAGCCTGGTCATAATCAGAAGCATGTGGTCAAGAGGAGATCACCAGCTTAAAATAGTTACCTATGTGCCAAAATATAAATTGAACGCTGAACTGGTTTTATAAGTAGTTTTCAAAATAACTGAAGAATAATCATTGCAGTTCTTCCTCATGGATTCCATGGTGGGCAAGTCTTAATTATTAAAAAAAACAAAACAACCCCAGACAATCCGACTCTATGGACAACTAAATTATTACATATACAGGCTCCTCTCCCCCCTCAAAAAACCTTAATAAAATGGTGCCTGTGACGGTACATGAGGGAAACTGAGTTTGCCATCCTAAAATACTTCTGGGACATTACTTTAAACTGGCTATTTTTAGGAAATGGAAGACTTCCCCTAACTGCCTAAGAGAATACAGACAGAGGACATGCTACGGGAAGGGGGCCGTTAGCACAGATAAGGACAGTGTAAGGTGGGCAGGTGCCACAGACAGGGAGCAAGGCCTGCTTGGTCAAAGTCCTCTTTGTGTCTCACTGTTAAAGATAACCCAGCAAGTATTTTTTTTTTTTTTTTAAGCAAATGTTTGCTTTTTCATCTCCATGTGATTGCCTTGCTGCCTTTGAAGTCCCCAAGCACAACTCTCCCTTCTCCTTGGCTCAAGATGGCACGGAAGCCTTACCTGCCAGGTATGTCCTAGGGCCTCATGTTCTTAGGGAACATACATAATAAACTTGGTCATTTTCTCCTATCAGTCTGTCTTATGTTAATTCGATTATTAGTTCAGCCAGGATTTAAAAGGGTAGGAGGAAAATGGTTTTTTCCTCCCCCATATATCCAATCAAATATGTATTTCTTAGTTTTCAAATTAAAAGAAATTCTAACTTAGCATTCTTTAACCGTTGGTGACCTCAGAAGAAAAGACTCATTAGAAATAAAGATCACAAAACCATTTTTTTTGGAGCTAGAAGAGTTCTTAAAAATTACCTAGTCCAATGCAAGGAATTTTGTAACAGAAGAAAGAAGAGCACATGTAAGTTGAAAATAAATAAAAGTTAAAGATAAAGATAAACCAAGGGTCAGAAGCTGACCAATGGCCAATAATCTATTCTTGCATCCCTCTTAATTACTGAGGCTTTATATTATTACTAGAGGCCCGGTGCACGAAAATTCATGCATTGGGGGGTGGGGGCGCGATGTCCCTCACCCCAGCCTGCACCCTCACAATCTAGGTCTCCTTGGGTAGGGTCCCTAGGCCTGGCCTGAGATCAGGGCTTTCCTTCCCTGGGCTGCAGGCAGCTGGCCCTACCCCCGCTGCTGCCACTGCTTGCCATCTGTGCAGTCCTGCCCCCCCCCCCCCCGCCCCTGCCACCATGGCCTCCCTCTGCAGGCGACAGGCTGGGGTGCAATGGCTTGGCTGGCCTGGGTCTCCCTCTTTCTTTGCTGGGGGGTGGGGCCATCTGTCTACCTGATTGCCCCTAACCGCTTGCCTACTTACCTGATCACTCCTAATTGCTGGTCTGCCTGCCTGCCTGATTGCCCCTATCCCCTTGCTTGGGGGCAGGGCCAGCACTGACTTTCGGTTACCGGTAGTAATGACCCAGGGTTTTTATATATTAGGATACTAAAGGCCTGGTTCGTGCACTGGTGTAGTCCCTTGGCCTGACCAGCATCCTCTCACAATCCTGGACTTCTTGGGGGATGTCAGACTACTAGTTTTGGCCTGGTCTCCACAGGCCAGGCTGAGGGACCCAATCAGTGCATGAATCCATGCACTGGGCCTCTAGTATGCTTATAAAATCTTTAATTAATCTTTTCCTGCCATCCCTCCTCCTCCTTCTCTTTTGAGATTCATGAGTCTGTTCCATGTTCCCATGCCTGTGCGTTGAGCATCTGCCCCTGGTGGTCAGTGCCCTTCAGAGCTACCGGTCGTATGGTCACTTAGGCTTTTATATATATAGACATTTGGCTTGACTTTTGTCTTATTACAACAGTCAGGATTTCTAAATACAACATACAATTACTAGAGGCCCTATGCACAAAATTCGTGCAAGGGGCTTGGCCCTCACAGCCATGGCAGCTTGCCTCGGCCCTCGCAGCCTGTTTTGTCTGGAAGGTTGTTTGGCTGTCCGGTCTAATTAGCAATATTATGCTTTTATTATACAACCAAAGGCCCAATGCATGAAATTTGTGCAAGAGCAGGCCTTCCTCCCCCAGGCTGCCGGCACTGGCTTCCCTCTGGCACTCAGAACCCAGGCTTTGCTCCGGCTGCCGGCAGGCCCCAGGGACCCGGCTTCCCTCCAGCTCTGGCTTTGTCTGGAAGGACATCAGGTCTAATTAGCATATTACTTTTTTGTTACTATAGATTACTATAGATCATAATGGTGAAAGTTGGTAGTGTTTTGTTTTAATGGTAATGAGCATGCTTCTTGTGTTTCACCATTAAGTTTAACATAGCTGTTAAAATGGAGAGAGAGTTTTATCATTTAAATCAGGGCCAGCAAACTAAAGACCATGAGCTAAATCCTACCCTATGCAACTTATTTTTATGGCCCAGGAACTAGGAATGGTTTTTACATTTTAAAGGGCTTGAAAAAAGTAAAATAAAATAATTATTTCATGACACATGAAATTAGGAGATTCAAATTTCAGCAACCATAAATAAAGTTTGTTGGAACACAGTCACATTATTCATTTACAAACTGCCCAAGGTTGCTTTCGCATTACAACAGCAGAGCTAAGGAGCGGTGACCGACACAGCAAGGTCCACAAAGCCTATCATGTTTACTATCTGGCGCTTTACAAGTTTGTGTCACCTGATTTAAGTAAAATATTCTTTATTCCCAATTTTAGTGCTTATAAAATTAGGAATTAGCATCCCTAATAAAATGTGTTGAATTTTATCAAATGACTTGTGAATATGAATTAAGATGATTTCAAATTGTCTTTCTTTTATCATGAAATACTAGAGGTCTGGTGCATGAAATTTCTGAACTGGGTGGGGGAGGGGGCAGCTCAGCCCAGCCTGCGCCCTCTCGCAGTCTGGGATCCCTCAGGGGAAGTCCAACTGATGGCTCAGCGCTGCCCCAGAGGTGGGACGCTGTGCTCGCCAGCTGTGAGCCCGGCTCCTGGCTAAGCGGTGCTCCCCCTGTTGAAGTGCACGGACCACCAGGGGGCAGCTCCTTTATTGAGCACCTGCATGTGTCATAGCGACCAGTTATTCTACCCTTCAGTCAATTTGCATATTAGGGTTTTATTATATAGAATTTGAACCATTCTAGTCTCCTAGATTTTTAAAACATGAACACTTTACATTTTATTGTATTTGCTTCAGCTCTTTACGTATTGTAGCTCCCTTTTATTCCTCCTCATCGCCAACCCTGTCTTCCTCCCCCATCAGTCACTACTCTTTGGAAGTAGTTCTCACTCTTGAATATGAGTCTTCTTGTCCATGGTTTTATATTTCTCTTTATATGTATATATCTATGAACAATAGTTATATATTTTTATAATAGTTCTTGTTAGATATCTTTATATAATTTTTTTATTATATCTTTTTAAACTTTTTAAAATTTACATGAAATACATCATGTTGTACATATTCTTAACTCTCTCCTCAATGTGGTGTTTCCAGGATGGCTCTGTTAACAGGTACAGATCAGGTTTACTTTAACCACTGTATAAAATTCCACTGCACGATATACTACAATCTTTCCAACAAGGCATAGAACTTCTCTACAATATGGCAACTGCAATAGACTTTCTTTTCTTATTGACCACTAGTTTCTCCCATCCATTCAACACTTACTGACCACCAGGATGTGCCAGGCCTTGCAGACAGCTGTAGAAGTGGAAACTGAAGCACTGCTGGGGTGTGATAAATGCTCTAACAGAGGCATGGAAGCATGTGTTGGGGGTGCAGAGACCAGAGCATGTTTTGGGCACCTAATTCCAGCCTCACTGTATGTGTTACATTAATCAGTTTCCTCACTTTGAGTCATCCTTGGATTCGTGTATAAATTTTCTTTAGTGAGGTATGTCATTAGTAGCTTTATCAAGGTTTTACATACATAAAATTCACGTAAGTGTAAAATCCATGGTTTTTAAAAAATATATATTTCTTATTGATTTCAGAGAGAGATAGAAACATTAACAATGAGAGAGAATCATAGATTGGCTGCCTCTTGCCCACCCCTTACTGGGAATCAAGCCCGCTACCCATGTAAGTGCCCTTGACTGGAATTGAACCTGGGACTCTTCAGTCCGCAAGCTGACATTCTATGCACTGAGCCAAACCAACTAGGGCCAATCCATGTTTTTAACGTACATTTACAGCCTTGTGCAGCCATCACTACAACCCAATTGTGCAAAAAGATCCCTTGTGCCCCTCTCCAATCAAGACTGGTGATGTGTTGATAATTATTGAAGCTAAGTAATGGGTATGAAAGGAGACGAATCCATGGTATTATTCTCCCCAGTTTTGTATATGTTTGAAAATTTTCATAATAAAAATGTTCAACAACACAATAGTCTAGTATCAATCACAACATCCCCAGAATTTACTCCTAGAATTAACATGATGGCCAAATATAATCTATTATTAAGACTTACAAACTTGCCATTTGGTAATATACTCACCAGTAATTGCCCCATTCAATCATAGTTCCTGGCTGAAAAGAGATTAGAATTTTGATTTGTTAGTCCTATTATGAAGAAATATAGAATAAAAGTGTAATATAACAAATGAGAAAACTAACTTAAAAATTAATTTTTAATAATGTGAGATGTAACAATTAAAAAATGCAACAAAATATTATTCACAGTGTTCATACTTATCCTTTAGTGGAAATAATAGTCTATGGCTTCATATAAGACGAAACATACTGGGTAGGGCAAAAGTAGGTTAACAGTTGATTGTCTGGGAAATAATACAGTAATAATACATAATAACACAAGAATAAACTGTTTCACCTACAACTGTAAACCTACTGTAAGTCACTCAGTTATGGTTGCTATCAAAACCATGCTTAGACCCATCCTCCAGATGTACCTAATTATTAAACACATTCATTCAGACTTTATTGTGAACATTTAAAAAAATTCTATTTAAGTAAACTTAATAAAGACATCATGTTATTTTTCCCAGTATAATGGTGAGTGTTAGACTACCAACATCTACTGACATATATTCCTTTGAACAATTTTGCTATCTGGACTTTCTTGCTAGTAGTCATTTAGTGGGCAAACATCTAGAAAGTCTTACAAAATATTATTTATTCCCTTTTAATCTTATAATTTTTAATCTAATAAATAAATGAATCAATTTATTCAACCGTCACACATTTATTAGTTGCTCTAGCTCAATTACATTAGATGCTAAATAATGTACCTACTGCTGCATTTTAGGTCTTTCCTTACAAAAACAGAAATGCTATATGTCAAATAATAAATATTATGTATAAGATTATAAAAGAAAAAAGAGCTTAGCAGAAGAGGAGGAATGAGAAATTATGAAGATTAAAAAAAAAAAAAAGACAACTAGATAGGGGTGAAAACAAGCCAAAATATAATGCCAAACAAATGACAGAATGTACACTCAACTTTTTATCAGCATTAAGGGTACTCATGAGGAACAGTTAACTCAGTACTTACTCGAAGTTGGTAAGATCTGAGTTCATATATATTAGGTCCTGGCCGTGGAAGAGGCTCATTCCAGAAACTGAATTCTAACAGCAGTTGATTCTTCCTAGAAAGAAGCATGTTGCTTCTTGCCTTCCGGAATTGCAAAAATTCCTTTGAGTGAAAAAAAGTGTTCATGAAATCATCTAACATTTATACATAAGCCTACTTTAGTAATATCTGCATTCCTCCTATAATAGAATACTATTACAAACAGGGTCCCAGTGTCCTGAGACAGTCCCAGTTTACATCATTTTTATTTTTATTTTTATTTTTTGGTTAATACTCGCCCGAGGATATTTTTCCATTAATCTTTAGTGTTTCCCAAAGTGTGGTACGCGTACCCCCAGGGGCACGGGAAGAGTTTGGTGGGGGTACGCTTGCACCGGAATTTGGTGGGGATATGCACTGTGCTTAGCTGCGCCTAATTCTATGTTCTCATGAGTACAAGGGGTACTCAGCGTTACGAAAATTATAGAAGGGGTACACATATGTCAAAAGTTTGGGAAACACTGTTTTAGAGAATGGAAGAGAGAGGGAAAGTCAGAGAGAAACACTGATGTGAGAGAAACATATCCATTGGTTGCATCTCCTGACCAGGGCTCAGGCCAGGAAGGATTCCTTGACTGGAATCGAACCCAGGACCCTTTGGTCTGTAGGCCAAAGCTCTGTCCACTGATAAACTGGCTAGGGCCCAGTTTATATCTTATCAAATCAGCCAAATGACTATTACCATTCCCTTTCACTCTCAAGTGTCCAGATTTAGATGAAAAGCTACATGGCCATCCTAATTATTATTATTATTTTTTAAAAATATATTTTATTGATTTTTTTTTTTTTTTTACAGAGTGCAAGAGAGAGGGATAGAGAGTTAGAAACATCGATGAGAGAGAATCATCGATCAGCTACATCCTGCACACTCCCAATTGGGGATTTTCCCGCAACCAAGGTACATGCCCTTGACCGGAATCGAACCCGGGACCTTTCAGTCAGCAGGCCGACTCAGTCCGATGCTCTATCCACTGAGCCAAACCGGTTTCGGCCATCCTAATTATTTAAATGACAATATAAACAAATTCAATTTCTACTTTTTAGGTTCTCCTAACAGGGTGTGACAGTGTAATAACAACAGTGACGTGAAGACTACAAACCATCAAAGAACTGGGAGTATTTGAGATCTTGCTTCGAGGCAAGTTTGGCTCATAAATTCATAAAAATTCAAAAAACCAAACCAAAACAAAACAACAATCAAAGAATCCAAAAGCCATTTATATTTGGACTGGGAAGCTATACAAACGGTTTTCTTTCCTGCACAGCTGGTGTGGCTCAGTGGTTGAGCATTGTCCCATGCACCAAGAGGTTGCTGGATTGATTCCCAGTAAAGGCACATGCCCGGGTTTCAGGCTTAATCCTCAGTAGAGGGGAGTGCAGGAGGCAGCCAATAATGTTTCTACCTTTCCCTTCCTCTCGCTCTAAAATCAATAAAAAAATGTGTTTTTAAAAATGGGGTTCTGGCCGAAACCGGTTTGGCTCAGTGGTAGAGCATCGGCCTGTGGACTGAAAGGTCCCGGGTTCGATTCCGGTCAAGGGCATGTACCTTGATTGCGGGCACATCCCCAGTGGGGGGTGTGCAAGAGGCAGCTAGTCGATGTTTCTCTCGCATCGACGTTTCTAGCTCTCTATCTCTCTCCCTTCCTTTATTAAAAAATCAATAAAATATATTAAAAAAAAAATGGGGTTCTGATAATGTCTGGCTAAGAGTCTCTCCACTAACATGCACCATTAGGGAGGGAGAGGATAGCAAAATCAGCCCCAAGGTAAAGAATATGGGGCTAGAGTGCTGACTTACTGATTTCAAAGTACCAGCTTATCAGTTTCTTAGTACAACTGACTTTTAGAATGAGAACTGTTATTTTAGCCTGGCTGATGTGGCTCAGCTGGTAGAAATGTCATCCTATACACTTTTTAAAGGTTCTGGATTCAATTCCTGGTCAGGGCACATACCTAGGTGTGGAATCAATCCCCAGCCTGGTTGGGGCATATATGGGAGGAAACCTGTCAATGTTTCTCTCTCACATCAAAGTCTGTCCTATGAACAGACATTGTCGACCTATGAACCAGGAGGTCAGAGTTCAATTCCCAGATTGTGGGCTCAATCCCCAGTGTGGGGCGTGCAGGAGGCAGCTGACCAATGATTCTCTCTCATCATTGATATTTCTATCTTTCCCTCCCTTTCCCTTTCTCTCTGAAAGCAATAAGATTATATTTTTTAAAACTATCTTCAGGCCCTAGCTGGTTGGCTCAGTGGATAGAGTGTTGACCTGCGTACTCAAGGGTCCCGGATTTGACTCCAGTCAGGGGCCCATGTCTGGGTTTCGGGCTCAATCCCCAGAGGAGGGCGTGCGGGAGGCAGCCAATCAATGATTCTCTTTCATCACTGATGTTTCTATCTCTCGCTCCCTCTCCCTTCCCCTTCCTCTTGAAATCAATAAAAATATATTTAAAAACCAAACCAACAAAAACAAAACAAAACTGTGCTTGGGTGAGAATTAAAAAAAAAAAGAACTGCTATTTTAATAGTATTATAACTGGTTACTTTATGTTTGCATTCATTTTCAGAGAGTCAAAATAATCAAATTTTTACTATAAAAAACTATTTACTAATGGTAAAAAAAACCAAACTGATGACAAAAGAGTCATTTAATTCTGTACTAACAACACTATATCATTAGTATGAAATGTAAACATTTTTCAAAGTCATTACCTGATTTTCTCTGAGTTTACTCATGACCTCGGTGAGGGCGGGATAGCCTCCTTCGTACCTCCAGAGGTGGACTGGAACATATTTGAAAAGATAACATACATTTAGAGTTTCATGATACTCTTACCTTGAAAATATCCTAGAGGTGTATAATATTAACACAGCACAAAAGTAAAACGTGCCATGTGTTGCCTATGAGTTATAATATGAAGTTATAATAACAGATTCAAATATTAAAACAACAGAAAAGTTTTTGCAATGAATTACTGGAGAAATGACTTTAGCCATAAAACCAGACTGAGACTTGGAAAGCTTTGATTATAACAACAAACATGAAATTAAATATTAAAAAGGCTTAAGGAACAAGTGTTTATTCCAAAGGCTTCTGCTTCCTACCAGCTTGATCCTGCTCGCCATACCACGTGTTCCAAGTCCCCACCAAAGTACAAGGGTAATGTTTATCTTCATGAATCTTTGGCAACACCTCTTGACTTAAAGAGAAGAGATAGCAACACTAATTAAACAACCAACAAAATTATACCAGGTGAACAACACATGATCAGTAACAGGAAAGAGGTCACCTACTCCATGTTCTGATAATTGACCTCAGAATATATTTAAGATAAAACATGCAAAATCAACCTCTTAGCTGAATTCTGATACCCCACTTATCACAAGCTTAGATTTCTGATACCCCCAACCTGAGTATAGCGATAAAAATGATAAAGAACCAAAGGTTCCAAGATTCTAGGAGCTATGAATGCCACTCCAGAAAGAAGTCCTGAAGCATGGTGATGTTTATAAAAGCCAGGTGTTGCTGCATTCAAAGACAGGAAGAATGAGGGAAATGGAAATAGTAGGAAAAGAACACGGAAAAATAAGAAAGGGAAGAAAGCAATGTTTAAGATGGGGAGACAGCACATTCAGGCCGAGGTAACGGGAGGAAACCTATCAATTAAGGTTACCTCGGTCTGAATGTAAGGAGGAAAGTAAGGAGGAAGACAGAGCTAGAATACAACATTGTTCCAAAGGACATTTCGTGACGGTAGAATCCAAATGAAAAATACAACAGAAAGCAATGATCAGGTTCTATTCAATGCAACCAACAGAGGGGATCTGAGCGCATCACGTAATCCCACACCAGACACACCACCCTTTCCATTTCCACTGACTGTAGGGAGCAGAGGCAAGCCACGCCAGGTCATAGCAACGTATTACTTGAACAGAGGTATCAGAGCTTGGTTCTTTAGAACCCTTCCTAGAGTGCAGATTCCAATTTACAGGGAAAGGCAAAGGAGAGACACATAACTATTCCATGCCAAGAGAAAAGCTAAGCCTATCTTTTTTGAATAGAAAAATTATGATAAAAAAAAGTATAATACAGGTTCAACAATGGATACAAAAAGATATCAAGGATCAGAAATGGAGCCAGTTCAAATTATTTGCTGACACTGAGTGATTAAACTAATAATCACCAGTAGAGCTGGGGCACCAGGACAGGGTGTATATTAACAGTCAACAGAGAAAAGGTTAGAACGGTCTATGTCTAACTGAACACTCATAAAAGTAAATGCCACCCTCCTAAAAATACACATGGGGTGGTAATTGTACTGGCTTATATAGACGTATGCTCAGAACCCAGAGGAGATGAATGGAAATCGGGGTGGGATTGTTAGGGAAAGAGGCTTCCTTTCTGAGGTTGGACATGAGCAGGAAGTAAACAACCCCGACCTGGAGCCAAGTAGGAGGAAGCCTGTACAAATGACCAGGTGGGGCCCAGAAAGGGGACTGCCAGGGGGCATAGCTTTTCCACCAATACAGTCATACATGGGTTTGCAGCCATCCCTCTGTGATGGAAGCCCAAACCTGCTTTTGGAAGCCCTGGCCTTACCTGGAGGTTATAAGCTAGGTAATACCTAGACCCAGAACTGATGAGTTGGAAAGAACCTCATTGTTGGGGCCCCAACAAACCAGGCAGGAGTTAAGTCTCTAAGCACTGAAAACAAGGAGCTGCTGGGTTTCACAGAAAGGGGAAAATCAACAAGGGGGAGGAGAAAACAGAACTCAAGCAGATCAAGTTGACAGTTTTTCACAATGGATTTTGGTTGAGATGGAAGTATAGTTAAAGCTATGAGTCCAGGAAGGAGTGAGAAAGGAGGTGCTTGGAAATGGAGCTCAACAGGCTGGGAAAGGGAGATGGAGAAAGGGAAAAGCAAAGAGAACTAAAATCCATGACAAATGAGGAATACACAGCCTTTAGTAACTAACGAATCACAGGACCTAAGGAAAGAGTTAAATAAAACCAGGGTGATTAACACATACAGGGATGTTGAAAGAGCAAGGCGGTTCTATCTGTTGAGATTGAAGGAAGAGCAAGACAGCCAAACAGAAATATAAATAGACAGAAACCTGAGACAGGAGATGAATAAAAACAGGACAGGAAAGCTAACTCAAGGAAACATCAGCATAGAGAAATAATTTCATTTTATGAGAAAAGATTTAGAAATAAGTACCTGCTTTTTTTTAGGGCGTTTTTTTAATAAAGAAAATTGTGCTGCAGTAAGAAATTCACTAACGTTATTTCACAAACCGCATCCAAAAACAACAGGTTCTTACTTCTGAAAATTTTGCTGATTCTGGTGACAGAATCATTCTTTCCTTATGAAAGTAGCAGATTTTAAAGGTAAAGAAAAAAAAAAAAGCTTTTAAATTATATTTGCTCATTAAAATACTACTTCTATTAATTTAATTAAGAACTGATACACTTTTCTCTTTAGTCTAAAAGTTTACAAGTTCTGTAAGTACCTCTGGGTCACAAATCATGAGAATCTGCTGAAGGGACTTGAATCCTGGCCAATGGGAAGAATGTGGGAAGAATGGCTGCTACATGCAAACGGGACAGTTTTACTGTCAAATCGAAAACAATGGAAGTCACAGGGACACAAGTTCTAACTGCTAACGCTCAAAGCTGCCCAGAGTGGAATGCATGAATGTATGTAGGCACAGGAGGTCAGGGAACATTCTAAGGTTCCTAGCTTATGTCATGATTTCCTGTCTGGGTGCTTAACATCAAAATGCCCTTTGTCATCCCACACAGAGCTCAACTTAAGAAGCCTCTGAGCGTTCAGCTTTAAGAAAATGGAACGAAGACCTCGCTCTGCTATCAAATGCTGGCTGAACTGACAAATACTAAAATCATTATTTTCCCCAAGTAAACGATAGTTTGGTATACACACCAAATTTTGTTGTATGCGTCTAGGCATTCCGGTTTAACATTGTGAACTGAAACAAAAGAAAATTCCACGATGAACTTAGGAACAAAGGGAGAAAAGTCAACTGTGAAGATGGCAGACCTGTCACTCACACTGTATTTTGTACAGACTGCTCGTTTCCCTTTTGGCTAGGAGGTTAGAGTGAGCATCTTTCCTTGGATCAACTTTCCGGACAAATAAGGATTTTAACCAGCTGTCTTCTCGAGGTCTGTGACTGGAAGACGTCAACCCCCTATGGAATAATAAATACAAAAATTTGAGTCTCATCAGAGGTAAAAAGATCTGTGTCTGTAGCTAGTGTCACATGACACACCGCTTCCATAAATTCACCATCCATTCAGCAAGCATGCCTTGAGCACCTATCCTAAGCACTACTTGAGAGCCTGGGACACCACGACATGCCCGCTCTTCCACTATGTAGTTCTAAACAGCAGGAATACAGTGTAAGGCAGTTACTTGTGACTCTCCTAACAGGTTCTCCTGCTTATCTTTGCAAGTCCCGCTATGTTGTTTTCCCTCCTGTAAAGCAATTAAAAAAAAATAAGTATATATATATATATATATATTGATTTCAAAAAGGGAGAGAGACAGAAACATCATCAATGATGAGAGAAAAATCACTGATCAGCTGACCCCCACATGCCCCACACTGGGGACTGAGCCTGCAACCTGGGCATGTGCCCTTGACCGGAATCGAACCTGGGACCCTTTGGTCTGCAAGCCAATGCTCTATCCACTGAGCCAAACCAGCTAGGGCATGTAAAACAATTAAAATATATATATTTTTTATTGTTTTCAGAGAGGGAGAGGGAGAGAAAAAAAAATGACAAGAGAGACTCATTTCATTGATTGCCTGCCTCCTGCACACTGCAAACTGGGGATGCAGCCTGTAACCTGGGTATGTGCCCTGACTGGGAATCAAACTGGGACCCCCTGGTAAATAGGTTGATACTTCACCACTGTGCCATGCCCGGCAGGCTGTAAACCAATTTAAAAATATATATATTTCTTTATTGATTTTAGAGAGGAAGAGTTAAGGGAGAGATAGAAACATTAGTGGTGAGGGAGAATAATTGATCGGCTTCCTCCTACACACCCCACACTGGGGATCGAGCTGCAACCTGGGCTAAGCTGGCAGGCGGACATCCCCCGAGGGTTCCCAGACTGAGAGAGGGCACAGGCCAGGCTGAGGGACCCTCCCCCCCTCCAGTGCATGAATGTCTTGCACTGGGACCTCTAGTAACATTATGTTATTTTCAGTTGTACAAGACTATAATTTGACATTTGTGTACTTTGTTTGCTCATCACCCCAAAGTCTGGTTTCTTCATCCTCCTTCGACCCACTGCCCCTCTAGTAACCACCATTCATTCTGTTGTCTGTGTCTGTGAGTTTCTTTTTAAGTGCATATTCCATACTCTTCCAGGTAGAATTACAAACCTTTGCTTTGTCCCTAGAGGGCAGTGTGACATTATCTTATCAAAATTAAAACTATGGCCCTGGCTGGTTTGGCTCAGAGGACAGAGCGTCAGCCTGCGGACTAAAGGGTCCTGGGTTCGATTCCGGTCAAGGGCACATGACTGGGTTGCAAGTTTGATGCCCAGTGGGGGGCATGCAGGAGGTAGCCGATCAATGATTCTCTCTCATTGATGTTTCTCTCTCTCCTTCTCCCTTCCACTCTTAAGTCAATAAAAATGTATATATTAAAAAAAATTAAAACTGTGTAGGCCTTTGGCCCAATAATAGCACCTGTAGTTATGTCCTACAGGCAGCTATTTTTAGATAAGCACATCAAGATAAATGCACAAAAAGGTTCATTCCTGCTTTGTTTCCAGTGTGTTCCTGCTACTGGCAATTTGGATATTCATTAACAGGGACTGGTCAAATGAATTAGGGAATATCCCAAATCAGCACAAGAATGAAATCATTAAAAAGAATGAGCCAGATCTACATGCACATAACTCTTAAGAGAAATTATGTGGAAAAAGCAGGCACTGAACAGTATCATAAATACACAAAGTGAACTGCTAATAAGTGACGATGGCAGAAAAAAATTGACTTGCTGCTTTAATGAACAAACATTACAGGCAATTTTCTCCCCATAAAAGATTCTTTTAACTTAAAACTAATTCATAGGATATTATCACAAATAGCTAGAAACCAGATAGAAAAGGCCTTTAAATGATATAAGCTTACAAATTCAGAAACTAAAATATATAAATATAAAATTAACAATCAATGTTCTCTATAATGATCAAGAAATATAAAAATACTTTTTTAAGCCCTTAAAGATTAAAAAGCTGCAAGCTTATAGTAAACAAGCAAAATAAGGTAATACCAATCATGCAATTTTTCTTACATGTGCATAGGATAAAAATATCTTAAATGGCATTTGTAAAAAGATGTTTACAATTTTTCTATCTTGCTTTTACCATATGTAAATTTCCAGAGAATTAAGAAAGTGCTAAAACAAATTTTTAAAATAAAAAAATGAATTATATATAATTACAATTAGCCCTTTAGCAAAACCTAAAACATATGGTATTTGTTTCTGTTTTCAATTCACTGGTTGATTATATAAATAAACTCATTCTAAAGAAAGCAATTCACCAAATGAGTCATATTCAAATTTATTTCAATAAAAATAAAAATGTTTGTCAATTTGTTTAGTGTTTTAAACACACCACATTTTGGAGTGTCTGCAAAATATCAGGAAGCAAAATGGCAAGATATAAAATTAGTGAGTTACAAAGTAGAACGTTTCAAGGTTTGTTAATGGGACTTTGTATAATTCTTGTTTTTTTCTTTAAGATTTTAAGATCACTAAACAGAAGTTGTGTGTGGGTTTTTTTGTCTTGTAAATAAATTGTAAGAACCTAGGAATAACAATTATGAACAATAAGAAAGGAGTTCAATAAAAATTTCTAGAAGTATCAGCATTAGGAAATTTCCCAAAGTAATTTTTTCCCTCCTCTTTAGAACTTATGGGTATTATTTTATATAATAAAAGGCTAATTGACCAAATGGTGGAAAGACTGGTCACTATGATGCACACGGAGCACCAGAAGCAGATGCTCAATGCAGGAGCTGCCCCCTGGTGGTCAGTGCACTCCCCCAGGGGGGGCGCCACTCAGCCAGCTGCCAGGCTCACAGCTGGCTGGTGAGCAAAGCAGTAGTGGTGGGAGCCTCTCAGGCCTCCGTGGCAGCGCTAAGGATGTCTCTGGCTGACCTAAGCTGGCAGTCAGACATCCCCCTATGACTCCCAGAATGCAAGAGGGCACAGGCCAGGTTGGGGAACCGTCCCACCAACACACATGAGTGCACCAATTTTGTGCACTGGGCCTCTAGTAAGTTAATAAGTATATACTGGGCGCTAGGCCCTGGACTAGGTAGTTTGTCATTTCAATTAGTCCTTAGAACAATCTAGCAAGGTAGCTATTATCAAATTTTAAAGATTGGCGCAGACAGATTAAATGACTTGAGCGGGGGAGATTTGTGTTTGGGAGGTACGAACTTAGATCTATAAAGTTCAAAATATTTTTCCTAGTAAGGGATACCTCCCAAACACAAATCTCCCCCGCTGAGCATCTGCATCAGATTTTAGTAATACCAAAGGCAGATACTTTATTTTACTTTTAAACATATTTTTATTGATTTCAGAGAGGAAGGAAGAGGGAGAGATAGAAATATCAATGATGAGAGAGAATCACCCTGACTGGGAATTGAACCGTGACCTCCTGGTTCATAGATTGATACTCAAACACTGAGTGTCATTGGCGGGGCCCAAAGGTATATGTTTTAGAATGAGTAAGTTGAGGTCAGAGATATGGAAATGTTTTGTAAACTAAAGGTAAGTCTAGAAAAAAGTCAATGTCACAGGACACACCAGAACCTGAGTGGAGTGTGCTTGTGAACTCTGGCAGCAACGGTCCTGACAAATGCAACACAGTCTGGCCTAGCATTATCCTCAACTGACTGTGAAACTCGGAGATCTTTCGAGTGACAGGTGACCAAAGCTGCCTCATGTGCCCGGTCATCTAGCTGTCCACGCTGAAACATTGAAGGGGGAGAAGCAGCTGTGCCCACAGCTGTCAGGGTGATAGGATCCAGGCGGGGCTGCGGTTCTTTAATGGCAGTGATAAACATTCCAATCAGTGGTCTTTATAAGATCACATATATATGCTGTACAGCACTTTACAGCACATTTCACCTTACACACAAAGCACCCTGAATGCACCTGATCTTGTAAACTAAGCAAGGTCGGGCTGGGTAGTACTTGGAATAGGAGCACTAGACTTTAAATAGAGTGCGTGTTATGTGCCAGGCTCTGTGGATATGAAGGTGAACCAGATCCTTAGCCTGCTCAATCTCATGGGGAAAAATGACCAGTAAACAGCCAGAATGGTCACGGATATGCAGACTTACACATACACACGGCAGGAGCTCAAGGCCTGTGAGGAGCGAAAAGGACTTTGGCGGAGACATTCTGGCCCCGTCTTGGAGGACAAGAAGGACGGGTGGACAAGGCAGGCGATAATTCCAGTCAAAGGGAACAACATGTCCAGGGCACAGGGTCATGAAACTGCGTGGTGTATTTGTGGAATAGAAGAGTTAAGTACCTAAGGCAGAACAGGATGGTGACTGAGATAACGGGAGGATAAGGGAGGAGTGGCTAGGCTCCTGGGCGCCATGCTTGCCTGTTAGCTGGATTCTACCTTGTACATGGTGCAATGCTAGCACATTTTGGAAAAAAAAAAAATCCTAGATGTAAAAAGCAGCCTGGGCAGTGAGCTGGCAGGTGGACTACAGCAATAAGGCAGGAAGCATGTGGCCGAGAGTTGAGCTAGGGGAGTGGCCGTTCTGAAGGCAGAGAGAAGATGTGCTGGAGGTAGAAGGGAGGAGCAGGACGGGCTGGGCTGGGGGAAGGCCTTCTGGTTTCTGGCAGATGTCCCATTACTGGGGGGAGAGAACCTAGGAGAAGCAAGCAGGCTCTGTAGGAAGAGGAGTTTGATTCTGGGAACGTAAGCATCTCAAGCACCTGTGGAGCACTAGTGCATGTCCACTGAGTAGCTGGAACCCTGGGCCTGGCCCTGAGCACACTAAGGTGCTGGCCGGTAAGTGTCCCAGGAAGACTTCCTTCTTCCCCTCTGAAGCCGCTCCATGCCCCTGCTGGCAAATCCAGTTTTCTCCTGTCAGCCTAATCTGTGAGCAGCATCTGGCACAGGTGACCATTCTTCCCTGAAATACCTCCCTCTGGGCACTGTCACATAGCAATGACCTCGCTGGCTGCTCCCTCTGTCTCCTTGCCCGCCTCTTCTTCCTCTAGCCAGCCTGTAAACGTTGACAAGTCCCAGGCTGTTTCTCAATCCATAATCTCTCAAAGTGATATCACTCACTCCTATGGCTTAAAATTGTTACAAAAATTTTCAAATCCAAAACAGTACGCTGAAATCCGTGTATCTATCAACGTTTAACATTCCTAAATGCTGACAACTCCCCGATGTTTTCTGTAGCCCAGACATCTCTGAGGAGTCAGAGAAGTTAGAGTCATACAGGTTTAGGCCAACTGCCTGCCTACTTGGCCTTCCCATCTGAACTCCAGCTGTCTCTCACTGCTCCCCACCCCACACCTGTTCCTCCCTTTCCGAAGGCGGGGACCTCGTGTGCCTTCTTCGCTGTTTACAATAATAGCACCCAGCATATGGTGGGCACTTATAACCAATGGAACAAATAATTCAGCAAACGGCACACGCTCCACTCAGTTGACCGTTACTCTTGATTCTGTATCCTTTTCATAGTCAGACTGGTCTTTAAAATCTGAGGATCAGATCGTGTCCCACTAGAATTTATACCTTCAAATATTTCCCACGGAATAAAACCTGGAATTACTGGCCCCTGCTCCGTGTCACCTGCCCACTAGCTAGTCTTCCCCTCACTCCTACGCTCCAGCCGCCTGGACTTCACTGGTCTCCCAGCATGCCTGCCTCCTTCCCACTCCGGACTTCCATGCACACTGACCATTCAGGTTTCAGCTTAACATCGTCTTTTTTTTTTAATTTTTATTTTATTGATTTTTTTCAGAGAGGAAGGGAGGGGAGATAGATAGGAGAGCTAGAAACATCAATGAGAGAAAGACATCAACCAGCTGCCTCCTGCACACCCCACACCAGGGATGTGCTTGCAACCAAGGTACATGCCCTTGACCGGAATCGAACCTGGGACCTTTCAGTCCGCAGACCGATGCTCCATCCACTGAGCCAAACTGGTTTCGGCAACATCGTCTTTTAAAAAAAAATATATTTTTTTACTGATTTCAATAAATAGAGAGGAAGGCCGAAACCAGTTTGGCTCAGTGGATAGAGCGTCGGCCTGCGGACTGAAAGGTCCCAGGTTCGATTTGTACCTTGGTTGCGGGCACATCCCCAGTAGGGGGTGTGCAAGAGGCAATTGATTGATGATTCTCTCTCATTGATGTTTCTAACTCACTATCCCTCTCTCTTCCTCTCTGTAAAAACATCAATAAAATATATTTTAAATAAATAAATAAATAAATAAATAAATAAATAAATAGGAAGGGAGAGGGAAAGATAGAAACATGGATGAAAAGAAAATCATTGATGGGCTGCCTCTTGCATGCCCCTCACTGGAGATGGAGCTGTGACCTCCCAGTTCATAGGACAATGTTCAACCACTGATCCACACTGGCCAGGCTCAACATCACCTTCTCAAAGAGGCCTCCCATGACCTCAGGTGGTAGGTTCCCTGATCATCTCACAGCCACCTCTAAGTCCGGTTGGGTTTTTACCTAGGCCACGGCTTCCTGAGGTTAGTGACCAAGGCTATTATGCTCAGTTCCAATATGGCTTCAAAGACACCATATACATTCACTATTTGATAGAATCAAATAACTAATTGGGACTGAGTCCTGAAGAACATCTACAGTTAAGGCAGAGTAGAGCCCAGGGAGTGGTCACCTAGTACAGGGGACCCGAGAGAGCCGTCAAGAAGCCAACAGGCTGGACAGAGATAAGGACTCCAGGCTCAAGAGCCTTTGGCCCCAGCAAGAAGTCAGGGTACTGGGCAGACCCAGGCCCAGTTCTCCTGTTTCCGCGCTTTGTGACCTTGGCGCTATGGGTAAACAAGCTGAGTAAATATCTTCAGCCTCAGCTGGAAGGAAATGAATTTCACGGGCTCATTTCATCCGTGTGAAAAAAAAAAAGCAAGACACGAAGTAGATGCTCAATAACAGAACAAAAGTAAAAGGAGGTTTCCCGGCTGGCATGGCTCAGTGGTTGAGCTTCTACCTATGAACCAGGAGGTCCTGGTACATCTCCGGGGTGTGAGCTCGATCCCCAGGAGGCAGCCGGTAGATGACACTCTCTCATCATTGATGTTTCTATCCCTCTCCCTTCCTCTTGCTCTATAAAAAAAACATATTTTCAAAAAAATAAAAAGATTGATTATTCAACCTGGAAACATCAAATTTGGAAATACAAGTTGAGCATCAGAAGGGCGCTGGGCCTGAAGCCAGACAAACTTGGGTTCAGGCTTAGAAAATGCCTTTTCTAGGTGTGTCTCACACCCGTGGAGGTTCCATCTCATCTCTTAAAATGCAGATCCTATGACTTGCTTCTTAAAGATTGCTACCAGGATTTAATGACATATAAGTCCCAAGCCCGTGGTTAAGAGTTTAACCAACAGGTAATTTCTTCTTCGCCTTTTCATTTTTAGGTGCCACCTGTATTTTCTGGAGGCTCGTTATTTAACGAAAAACCAACAAATGAAACGATGCCATTTAAATTATGCAATGTACAGAAAGCGAGAAAGTACACCTACGTATAAGTTAGTAGTTGTTTTTTTTAATGTGGGGGGGAAAAAAAGGGACATGAATAATGTCCAAGGGATGGATTCAGAAAACCGGATTTAATCCAACGAGGTTGGAAACAAAGTTAAAACATGAGCCCGACGCCTGACCATTGTAAATACTTTTTTTTTTACAGCTGATCATTGCAAATACTTTCTGATCCACTCCTTTCCATGCAAATCAGATTATTCCCAGGACGAGACCCCCTCGCTTTCCTCCCCTCAGTGGGCTCCTCGGGACGGTGGTGTGTGTTTGCTCACAGCTGAGCGGTAAGAGTGTCTGACATTGGCAGCTGCAGACCCGAGGCTCCGCGGGGGCAGCGGACCGGCCGGCCGCCCGCAGGGCCTGCAGCCAGGGCCGCGCGCCCCCCGGCCGGCCGCCGCGGCGGGTCGCGCCGGGTCCGGGCCGCCGGCCGCGCTCGCACCGCGGGCGTACGTGGCCCTGGCGCCGCGCCGTCCCCGCCGTGACCTTGAGCCCGAGGGGAGGGCGCTCGGACCCCAACCAGGCGCCCGCCCACCCCGACCCCGCTGACCTCGGCCTGTGGCCCCGCCGCGCCGGCCGCACGGCCCCGCGGGAACAGGGAGCGCGGCCAGGCCGGGCGGAGACCCGCGCCCGGGACCCCGCGCCCTCCGCCCCGCGGCGGCCCCTCCCCGAAAGGGCGGCGCTGCTCACCGGAGCACGGACCGGAGGCTGCAGGGGGCGGCCCGCCGTAGGAGGCCGCCGGCCGAGGCCGCTCCGCGGGCGTGCAGCACTCGCGACGCCATGTTGCTCCGGCGCCTCGGCTCCCACCGTTCGGGCCGCCGCCGCTGACGCCGCCGCGGCCGCCTCCGCGACCCCTCCCTCGGCGAGGCCCGCGGCGGCCGGGGCGGGGCGGGGCGGGGCGCGCGGCAGGCAGCTGCTGCGCCGGGCACGGCCACCAGGGGGCGCAGGCGCGCGCCGCGGCGACCCGGTGCGCGGTGCGTCCCGGCGCGGGGAAGCCCGGTGGCCACGAGGAAGGAGCCAGGAGCCCGAGAAGAATCACACATCTCCCGCGAAGGGAGTGCGCAAAGGCCCGCGGGCCAGGCTGGGAAGAAAAGAGTAACGGTGCTGCTGGGGACTCTTGGTCCCTAGGGGACCAAGGTGGGAGGCAGGCTTCTCCCCGAATACCTTTTAATAAAGATACATTGCCTTTTCAACACAAACAAACAAAAATAAACACATATATGTAGCTTTAACAAAAGCATTCTGGATGGAAACATACTCAAGTTCCCATAGGCTCAGAACTACACTGTTGGGTTCGTTTCAGCAGGACTGGGGAGCTCTGGCTCCAGCCTTGCCCTCAAGCCATCCCAGCCCTGGGGGGACAGGATGGGAAGTGACTGGGTCAAGTGTGTCAAGTGTTGAAATGGACAGGTTGCCAAAACCGGTTTGGCTCAGTGGATAGAGCGTCAGCCTGCAGACTAAAAGGTCCCAGGTTCGATTCTGGTCAAGGGCATGTACCTTGGTTGCAGGGCACATTCCCAGTGGGGGGTGTGCAGGAAGCAGCTGATCGATGTTTCTATCTCTCTCCCTTTCTCTGTAAAAAAATCAATAAAATAATGGACAGGTTCACACGATGCGAAGGGGGCAAGGAAGAGAGAGCATGCAATCGGCGGTGGCTGTGAAGTGGAAGGGAGACAGACACCCAGGAGCTGACACAGCAGGGCAGAGGAAGAGGAGTTGGCCAGTGGAGGAAGGGAGGACATTTCCCATCAGCAGAAAAAACAACTCAAACAAAGGCGTGATTCAGGATGGCACTGTTTGGGGAGAGTGCATCCTGCTGCAAGATAAAAAGAGCTACACATGTAACCACCAAAACTGCAACTAAGACGGACAATGGGGGCAGGAAGGGAGTTAGTGAGAGAAGAGGGGAGAAACAAGGAGCAGCATTGGCCCACCCCTTAAAGGGAACATTTCAAGGGCAGTGTAAACCTGTAGAGGCCCAGAGGAGATTGCCCTTAAGACTGGGTAGCTGGGAGGTCTCCGCTACCCAGGCAGGTCTCTCTAGAAGGGGTGGGGCCAGATATTGGGCTTGTGGACTGAGGGATTCTCTGAAGCTGGCAATATTGGAGGCGGAGAAGGAGCAGTGGGCCTCAAGTGGTACAGTTTTCTGACTCAGCAATGTCTGAACAACTTCATATGGCGGGGAGGCAGCCAGGAGGAGAGGAATAGGTCCTGGGTATGGATGGAGGAGTGGCAACAGGATTTGCCCAGACTGAAGTATGGCAGCAATCACCTCAGATAGAAACTGCTGTTTGGGTTCTGTACTTATTTTGTTTGCTAAAACAATGGAAAGTTTTGATTTTCTGAACTTACGTATGCCATTCCAATACTCCATTGATGATGGTTTGAATATCCCACTGATTGTGACCTCACTGGTCATCAAAGCACATTCTTCTGGGAACCAGGATAGCTCAATTATCCTAAATTGTCTCAGTAGCTACAGATAACGAGTTTTGGTTGACTCAGTGGCCCCGTAATCTGGACAGCAGGATTATTCTAAATTGCTAGGTGGTCCCCGATAATGTGTTTCTGTTGATTCAGTGAATCGTGGATACTTTAGATAACCAAGTCACTCAATTTTGCTTCTGTAAAAATGTTTTTTGCGAAACAGGTTCCTCATTCCAGACCAAAAGATGTAATCGATACTTTTGTGATGTTCTGCCAACATAAGCCAGATGTGGCAAGCTGTTCGGGTCTGGAGCGCTTTAGCCCCTTGTATGCCGCCGGCCTTTAATAAATGACTCCATAATTCGACTTCCTGAGGCGTCCTTTTAAGATGAGGCACACTACAAGACCAGGGAGATGCTTCTGTCTCTGAAAGGCCAGTGTGGAGGCGGCCAGGGGACACAGGGGCAGGAGGCTGCATAGGGGTTGTGTGGCTGAGAGGTCTAGATCCCAATGGGCTTGTGCTCAGTGAGGCTACAGACTGAACAGATCCACAGGAGAGGCTGATGTGCACCATCCCCGGGGCAGAAAGGACAGGTCCCAGCCCTGCATAGCGGAAGACAGGGCCTCAATCTTCCTACCTCTGATCTTTCCCCTTCCAGTTTATTCTCTACACTCATGCTATTTCTTGTATTGAAATGTGAATCCAATTATATCATTCTTTTAAAAATGTTAACCTACCACTAGTTAGAGGATAACTATTGCCTATTTATCTACCTGACTTCCCCCTTGTTCAAGTGTTCCAGCAGTCCTCTTGGTTATGCTCCTTCCGCTCATGCTGTTCCCTCAGCCTCAGATGCCCTTTCCGCACCCTCATCTACTAGCCTGGACGCTTCCTTTAACATTCAGTTCGAGCACCATCTCATCACTTTTGGGAAATTTCTCTAATTTCTTCCCACCAATGTGCCTTGTTTGCCATGAAAAGTCTGGGTAGGGTGTGGGGGGAAGGGGAAGGGTGTGCCTGTGGTCATTGTTGAATCCCTGTGCTTGTATAATATACATTATTAGTTGAGGTTGAAATATGATCCAGATCTCTTCCTAGGAGCCAGAAAACTGAACTTGACTCTGTTTCCTCAGGTCAAAATTTAAATTATCAAAATTAACAAACAGCAACAAAACGCTGAAGCTTTCCAATTCAAGTGCACATGTGAGAAGTGCTACAACTTCATCAATGTATCAGGTTTTAAGAACTCCTTCCTATTTAATGCATCCTAGGATACAGTATTAAAAAAAGTAACAAAGAACTTAAATCTATCAATGTCCATTTTATTTAGCCGATTTCCTTTCCTTTTTTTAAAAAAAATATTTTTTTATCTATTTCAGAGAGGAAGGGAGAGATAGAAACATCAATGATGAGAGAGAATCATCAATTGGCTGCCTCCTGCACACCCCCAACTGGGGATCAAGCCCACAACCTGGGCAGGTGCCCTTGACCATAATGGAACCAGGGACCCTCTAGTCCACAAGCCGACACTCTATCCACAGAGCCAAACCAGTTAGGACCCCAAGCATGTTGATTATTTCTGTTTGGAATTGGTTAAATCAGAGAAAAAATTTAAATTAATTTTGAATATAGACCATCAAAAACATTACAGATAAGATGTGATCTTATCTGTTTACGGTATCAAAAAGGTTTCTTCTCACCAAATAAAGGTTCTAGAATAAATTAAAGATTCCTTTGAATGAAAAAAAAACACACACACACATCTAAAACAATGAGTTTAAAAAATAATGCAGTAGACTGTTAAGCACATTTAGTGTAACAGGAAAGCATGTTCACTGAAAAGGAAATTTGTAATATGACCATAAACCTTTTTGGAAAATTATAACCAACACTTTATTCATTTACTTTTAGCTGTTTCATAAGTACCGGAAGAAGAACTGATCAGTTTGTGATGAAACTTAGAATTTCTTTTCCATAAAGCAAACTTTTCTAATCCTCCTTCACTGCTGTGAAGAGACACCGTGTTCTTCCTGAGTGCTGGTTAGATGGGTAGCTTCCACACCGATTGGACTCTCCAGGTAGGCAGTCCCTGCACAAGGTTTCCCAGACACCGGATCTATGACTTGTCCGACTTTGAAAACAATCTCAGCCAGCTCATGCTTCACATGTTTCGTTCGTGGAACAGGTAAAGCTTTGAGGAGCACGATGTCCCCAACTGTGCACTGCTGAAGAGCATCATGGGCAAAGTAGGTTTTCCGTTTATTAAAATACTGTTGAGAGAAGGAAGGACAAATGAGCAGTTCCACCATCTGTGACCTGGCACTGCAGTAGAGAATATGAAAAAGTAATGCCCAGAGAAAAAAAGCTGGGACTTGGGGGTGGGGAGGTGAAGATAGCATATTTAAGGCGGTTTCCAAAACAAAAATTAGCTGCTTAGCTTCTGGAAAACAGCAATGACTTCCAGAGATGATCCTGTCCCTAAGCTCTCCAGTGAATTATCTTCAGCACCCTTGCTCTATCCATTACCGTCCTTTTTTTTTTTTTTTTTTTTTTTAAATGTATTTTATTGATTTTTTACAAAGAGGGAGAGGAACAGAGAGTTAGAAGCATCGATGAGAGAAAATCAATTAGCTGCCTCCCGAACACCCCCCACTGGGAATGTGCCTGCAACCAAGGTACATGCCCTTAACTGGAATCGAACTCAGGACCTTACAGTCCACAGGCCAACGCTCTATCCACTGAGTCAAACCGATTTCGGCCATTACTGTCCTTCTTGACACTACTTAAATTCTTCTCTCCAGTGGCACCTTCTCTCCAGTCCATAAACATGCTACTGTCACCACTAGCAGTGTAATTTAGGACAAATCACTTAACACCAAGCTCCGCTTTTTTCCACCATAAAACGAGGCTCTAATACTTGCACCTCTAAAGATACCAAGAGAATTATAATATACAAAAAGCACTTAGTTCCATGTCTAGCCCAACGTATTGCAAACAAACTCCGGATAACTATTGTAGAATCACCTGTTCCTCAAGGCAGCCCCTCCATAGCAGGTAATCCCACTTCCAGATGAGAAAAACGGGCTCAGGGAGGTTAAGGAATGTGCACAGCTAGTAAACTACAGAGTTGGTGTTCAAACTGGTCTTCTGAGTGTAAGGTCAATGATCATGCCATCTCTTTTCAGCTTACTCCCGTGTTTTTTATCCCAGAGAACAACTGGCATTTCTACCATCTTGAATGCAGAACATCCTTGACATTTCCCACCTCCTCCCTTACAAAGCAAGGGCTCTGTCCTTTCTGAAATCTACTTTCCCCCATTGCTCCAAAAAATGTTCAGGTCTTTATCGTTTCCATCCTGGACTTTCTTCATAGCCTCCTCACCCATTTCCTGACCTCCAACCCTCATACTACCCATCTTCAAGTTTGCCTATCCTTTGCTTAAAGGATGAAATCCAAAACACAACATAAAAGACTCTTCGCAGTCTGGCTCCGGCTGTTCTTGTAACCATTCAATTGTGCCTACTTAGTGCCAAACTCTAGGCTCACCCTTTCCCAAATACCTGCTGTTCTTGTAGAATGTCATACCCTCTCATGGCTGAAAGAACATCCACAAACTACTACTCAGCATGGCCAGAATGACTTCCCCCAGCCTGGTCCTCTGGATAAAATCCTTTTTGAGATTCATCTCAAATGTCTCTAAGTCAAGGATGTGCTCCTTCAGCAACCTGGGAAAGAAGGCATCCTGCTTTCTGCACCCACAGTACATTGTACACAGAGAGACGACAGTACTCACGAGACTGAACTGAAATGAGCTCTATGTTCCTTAGCATGTGAGTACACACCATGACCAATTGGCTTTGTTAAACCACAAACCAGCCCAGTACCGGGTATGCATGCAGCAGGTGCTCAATGTATTTTTACTGATAGAGAAGTGTTTTTCTGCTCAGAACGCAGGATGTGTCGGTGATTTTATCAATGCCAACTGAAAGCAGGGGTGTTTCTCACCTTTAATAAATAGGGATCCAGGACAAGCCTGGTTACTCTCACTTTAGCGGTTTTTTGCATGGCTGTCCCAATCACTTTCCCCACGATCCATTTGGCATGGACAGATGAACGAACTATTGACATTTCAGACTTTGGTCACCTGAAAAACAAAATTCAAAGCTTAATGTTTGGGGGACGGGGGGGGGAGGGGGGGGCTATGACTCACTGAATGCATTTGGTCACTACCACTGCTCAAGTTCAAAACCAGCTTTTTTTTATTTTTTATTTTTTTTTAAATATGTTTTACGGATTTTTTTTTACAGAGAGGAAGGGAGAGGGAGAGAGAGTTACAAATCAGCTGCCACCCGCATACCCCCTACTGGGGATGTGCCTACAACCAAGGTACACTCCCTTGACTGGAACGGAACCTGGGACCCTTGAGTCTGCAGACTAATGCTCTATCCACTGAGCGAACCGGCCAAGACTAAAACCAGCTTTTGTTGGCCTTCTGGAATCACCACTTTAGAGATGTTCACACGATACCCTAGTTCTTCAATTACCCAACCTCCCTTCCATCTGTACAGTTTACAATGCTGCAAACTTAACTCCTTTAAGCCTCAGTTCCCACCTTGGCAAAATGGGAACAACAGGGCCTATTCGCAGGAGCGCTCTGAGGAGCTCCAGGCGCATAAACGCCGGCCTGGACTGCTGTCCCTCATTTCTTCCGTCCCGCGGGCTCCTCGCGGCGCGCAGGGCCCGGCGGAGCGGCAGGGGCGCAGCGCGCAGTGAAGGAGACCTCGACTTAGGGCTGCTTTCACCCAGTCCGTTAATACTGAGCACAGCCCACTCGGCCCGAAGGCTGGGGGTGGCTGATCCCTCTGCTCCGGGGGACAATCCCGGGATCGGGAGACTCCACTCGTCCCGAGGACTTTCACTGCGGGACCCTACCGCGGCCCTATCGCTGCGGTGCGTGGCCCGCACTCACCTCCACGCCCCGAAGTCCTAGCGCGCGACCCGCGGAGAGCCTCTCGGACGTGGTTGCGTCACGCCGCACGCAGGTCGCTCCGCCTCGGATCGCCCTCTCATTGGTCGCAGGTCTCTGAGTTCTGGGCGGGGCTAAAGGGAGGACTCCGCCCACCCCCTCACACGCCTTAAAGGAGCCGTGGACGGAGAGTGCCTGGGAGTGTGGGCGGCCTTTTCCTATTCGGTTCCGTTTCCTCTTCCACTGAGGTCCCTCCCAAGCGTTGGACAAGGCCTTCCAAATCAAAGCAACTTCATTGATTCATCAAATACTGAAACATGAGATGCTGCTAAATGCTGAGACTTACTTAAGAATTTCTGTCCCCACAATTGTTTTTAAGATAAAATTTTAAAAAATGTTTTATTGATTTTTTACAGAGAGGAAGAGAGAGGGATAGTCAGAAACATCGATGAGAGAGAAACATCCATCAGCTGCCTCCTGCACCCCCCCCCACTGGAGATGTGCCCACAACTAAGGTACATGCCCCCAACCAGAATCGAACCTGGAAACTTTCAGTCCACAGGCCTACACTGAGCCAAACCGGTCTTGGCTTAAGATAAATTTTTGTATTTTTTTAAAAAAAAGATTTCAGGTGTTACTTCTCAATATATGGGAGATGGGTAGAAGAAGTTCGGTGTGGGTGCGTATATACTTGCACATCTTATTTTAAATATTTTTATTGATTTTAGAGGAAAGGAGAGGGAGGGAGAGAAACATCAATGATGAGAATCATCGATAGGCTGCCTCCCGCACATCCCCCACTGGGGATTAGGCCTGCAGCCCCCCAGCGTCGAGAATCAAACCTGGAATCCTTCAGTCCATAGGCAGACACTCTATCAGCCCGTACTGGGTATGCAGCAGCCAAACCTATCCATTGAGCCAAACCATCCAGGGCTACTGGCACATTTTAAAGGGGTTAGATGGGCCACGAGCATGCTATGTGATGAAGCCTTTTCAGATAGAGGGAAATCTAGAAATGTATTAGGCTCCTGTTCGGGAATTACTAAGAGGAACAGAAAACAATAGGCTACTAGCACAATTTGAGGCCCATAATATGGGTGTGGTCAATTGTCTTTGATCACTGAAACATCTTAGCAGCACCTGATGGAAGGCTGGGAAAATCATTTATTCATGTTAGTCTGACACACATTTCTTCTTCAGCAAACATTGGTGGAAAACTTATTCTCAGATTCTGTGCTAGACAGGAGACAAGAAAGAAAGAAAAAAAAGGAATCAAAGGAGACCCCCACTCTTAAAACACCCACACTCTAGGAGGACAGATGAGTAAAGACAGACTTATAAAAAGAAGCAGGAGTAATGAGAGCTTTGAGAAAGGCGTGTCTAACTTTGTGAAGAGGAGATTTTTATCAATACATAGCCCCTGGCCAGGGGAGCAGACCTTGAGAGGAGAGGGACATGGGGTGTAGGAGGGCACCCAAGGCTTAAAGGAGAGCATGGACACAGGTGCCTGGCTGTGAGGCAATTGCAGTATGAAAAGCAGGAGTCTGGGACTGCCAGGGGATGGAGTGAGGGAAAGAGTGGCAGGGATTGAAGCTGGACAAAGACAGCCCTCTACTCCAGGAGGCATTTCTCATTAAGGACCTCACTTTTTTATCTAAGTAATGGGGGCCTTTGGAAAATATGTAATCCATTGTATGTATATACCACATCTTCTTTATCAAATTGTCTATTAATGGGCACTTAGGTTGCTTCCATATTCTGGTTATTGTAAATAATGCTGCAATGAACATAGGGGTACATAAATCTTATCAAATTAGTGTTTTGCTATATTTATTGTTTCCAGATATTATAAAACACTCTTCTAGGTACTGTTTGTATCTACTGGTTTAGGAGTAAGATATCTCAGATTTGAGTGACATTTCAGTCTAGAAACCCTGAATAATAAATCATTTACATAGTATGTCTGGTCTTACGAATCACTTTTTAAAAAAGTTTTATTTCTTACAAGTTTTTATTTGTTATTTTTTTTCTTATTAAATATATTTTGATTTTTTACAGAGAGGAAGAGTTAGAGAGATAGTTAGAAATGTCAATCAGCTGCCTCCTGCACACTCCCCACTGGGGATGTACCTGCAACCCAAGTACATACCCTTGACTGGAATCAAACCTGGGACCTTTCAGACTGCAGGCCGATGCTCTATCTACTGAGCCAAACCGGTTTCGGCTTTATTTGTTAATTTTCATCTGAGAATTTTTTTCTCATTGATTTAGAGAAGGGGGGGGGAGAGAGGGAGGGAGAGAGATAACGTCTGTTGATTGCCTCACACAGGGGAAATTGAACCTGCAAGCCAGGTACATGCTCTTGACTGAGAATTGAACCCGTGACACTATCGTGCACAGCCAACACTCTAACCACTGAGCACCCAGCCAGGCAAGGTTCTCTTTTCATAAAAAAGGGCAATAACACCTGGTTGGATGGTCCAAATGAACTAATACATGTGAAATGGACAAAAATAAGTCATAACAAAAGGTTTTTGAATGGGTACTACTCCTTTGTCTTCCTTACTTGGAGCACCAACATTTAGGGTTCACTCCTTAACTTGGAACATTTTGAAGAGAACAAAGGACAATATGAGAATGAATTCACACAAGGATTAACACGGTTTACTGTAAGTCAGCATAATTGTTTATGACTCTAAGAAATATACAATAGACTTCTAATTTATAGTTCCTATTTGTGAAGAATTGAACAAAATCCTTGGCCAACTGTGGTCTGATTTAGTTCAGATACTTCTTTTCTGAGATTGTCCAAAATTTTCTTTTCCTTTTCTAAAAATCCCATATTGTTGTGTTTTTCACTTATCCTGAAAGAAACTGCATTGCATTGGAACCCTTAGTACTCTGTGGAATATGCAGGTTGTTTTTTGTTTTTTTTTCCTTTCTGGTTGCAAAACTAAACTTTGATAAAATCATTTACCAGTTGTAATTAGTCACAACTTTTTTATTTGAATGATTCCCCCCCCCCTTTTTTTTAGAAAGATAGGAAAGGAGAAGAGAAACAGTGATGCAAGAGCAGAACACTGAGTGACCATTTCCTGCATACTCTCCACCAGGAATTGAACCTACAGCCCAGGCATATACTCTAACCAAGAACTAAAACAAAAACCAGCCAGGGCACTACTTCTTTAATGCATACCTTTGCTGTCAGCCTTCACCTTAGCTCCCTCTCTTCCTGAAATCTGAGTGCCCTATACTGTCTCCTATGGCAAGTAAATGTTAAATGCAGTTTCTTTTGGTGAAGAGATAGTTTCAGAACTCATCTATCCTGAAAATAGATCTCCACTATAATGATATCTGAACACAAAAATACTATTAGATATCCTCTCTGATTACTGTAACTCAGAGTTTTATTAAATACTAGTGGCCCTGTGCATGAATTCGTGCATGGGTTGGGGTCCCTCAGGGTGGCCTACGGGGATCGGGCCCCAGCTGGTGCCCCCAGCCTCACAGCCCTGCTTGGCACCCCTCCTTGGCCTGGCCTTGCTCCTTCACCTGCTCCACCATTCCACCTGCAAGGCGATTGATTGGGGCCAGCCCCCATCTCCCCCCCTCCCCCCGCCACCCAAGCTCCCTCAGTGCTTGGGAGCCAGGCAGCGACCCCACCCTCCCCACCGTAGCCACTGGTCACCATCTGTGCGTTGATGGAACCCCGACTTGCACCTGCCTTGGCCTGGTGCAACCCACTCACCTGCTCCAGCACCCATCACAGTCCTGCTGTCTTCGGGGCTCATTGGGGCCAGCAGTGCCTCCACTGCCGTCCACTGCCAGCACCACGTCGCCAATGCCCACCATGGTCTGCAACGCCCCCTGGTGGTCAGCACATGTCATAGCGAGTGGTCGAACTCCCGGTCAAACAATTTGCATATTAGGCTTTTATTATATAGAATTTCACATCCACCAATGAGTGGGACATAAACGCACTTTCAAAAGTTTAACTTCTGTGATAAAATGAGTTTACTTTTCTTAATTTCCTTGCGTTTAGTGTTTTAATTTTAAAAAGTCTTTAAATCATTTCAGCTTTGGCTTGAGAAGTATAAAATGTAGCCCTTCACAGGGAAGTCTTGATCTGGGAGATGTGCTAGAAAGGTGAGAAGCAAGGAAATTGCATTCCCACCTTAGCCTCAGGGCTTCTTTCACCATGCCTGAGAAGACAAGACAAAATGAAAAGCCAAGAAACTTAAGCAGCCTCATAATTACAGCTATCTTCGACTTACGTAACATCAAAATGTGATTTTTGTCAAACAAGGCGATAATCTATTACAATAAAATCGTAATATGGTAATTAGACCAGACGAAGCTGTTGCTATGAGGCAAGTCCAGGTCCTGGGTGCCAGAGGGAAGCCGGTGCCAGCAGCTGGAGGAATGAAGGCCTATTCTTACACTGATTTTGTGCATCAGGCCTCTAGTGATAAAAATAAAAATAAATCACCTGAATTCTTTTTGGAAAAAGGTGTTACATAAATATGTCTATGTAACAATTAATAAAGTGTATTATTAAGCCAATTAATCACCTTTATTTATTTATATAAAACACTAAGATTCTTCCCTGGTTCTTAGCCTCAACTTTGTACCACAGCTCACCCTCTAGTACAGTTCACTACTCTTTGTCTTCCAGAGTAGGGCTGAGAGGCACAGGGATTCATTAATAGAAACAACAACGACAACAAAACCTTATTTCTATTCAAATTTGCAAATATAGCAGAAAGCACAATTTTAGTTTAAAAGTTTATGTTTGCTATAAGGAAATTTAAAACTAGAACATGATAGAAAAGTAGACTTCTCTCAATCCCTTTTCATCAACACAATCCTCAGTCTCCTCCAAGACTCTTTCTTATAGTGATCCTAGGATTTATCTGATGACAGTAATGAAAAAATGGACTTAGAAAAACACCCCAATAACAGACTATTGTCATCTTATTACATTATTTCTCAAACAATGGTACAGAAGATTTAGGTGGTACATCAATGAATATTTTAAAGTTTATAGTGACCTTGATGAAAATTAGAATATAATTAGCATATAAACCTCAATTTTCATAAATATTTTCTAAGGCTAAAAATTGAATCCTTTAAAATTTTAAGTGAACACTACATATGGTAAAACTGTACAGGAAGTGTGCAAATGCTGAAGTTTGAGAAATATTGCTCTTTTCTGTTTATTTCAAGTTTATGTGACTAGTTACACTATATCATTGCCTTGATTAATCAATGTTTATATAATTTAAGAACTTTGCCATAAAACTTACAGGTGAATAATCACAGGTTATTGCCTACAGAATTTCTGGTCATTAAAAAGTTTTATATCAGATTTGGAACATGACTTCTAATATAATCTTGTTTACAAAGTAAATTATGTTTACTTGAGGATATATTATGCTATCAGTTTAAAGTCTAAATTTATTTGGTTTCTCCGCATTAAATTTTTGTTTATAAACTTTCTTTCCATTATTGAATAACTTTATATTGAATGGGATGGAAAAGTAGGACAACAAATTTTTCTACATTTATATATTCATATGATTCCCCCCCCATGAGTTATGTGCTGAGTAAGTGAAGGACCGTGGCTTATAACTTTCTCACATTTATTATATTCACATAATTTCTCCCGAGTATGGATTTTCCTATGTTGATTAAGGTGTCCACTCTGGCTAAAGGCTTTCTCACATTCATTACATTTATAGGGCTTCTCTCCTGTATGAATCCTCTCATGCTGATTAAGATGTGTCTTCTGGCTAAAAGCTTTCCCACAAAAATTACATTCATAAGGCTTCTCTCCAGTATGAAGTCTATGATGTTCAATAAGGGATGTGATACGGCTAAAGGCTTTACCACATTGATTACATTTGTAGGGCCTCTCTCCAGTATGAATCCTCAGATGTTGAGTAAAGGATGAATGTTGACGAAAGGCTTTCCCACAGTCGTTGCATATAAAAGGTTTTTCTCCTGTGTGAATCCGCTGATGTTGAATAAGATGTATCCTCTGGCTGAATCTTTTCCCACATTCATCACACTTATAGGGCCTCTCTCCTGTAAGGACTATCTGAGGTTGAGTAAAAGTTGAGTTGCGGCTGGAGGCCTTCCTACATTCACTGGGTTTCTCTTCAGTATGAATAGGATTAGTAAGAAGAATATGTTGATTGATGATTTTCCCATACCTGTTATATTCATAAGTATTTTCTCTTACATGGTTTCCTTGAGAGTAAATCAATTCTGAATTATGTTTGATGCTATTTCCTTGTGTGTTTGAATTAAGGGGTATCTTAATTGAAGAAATTCTCTGATGCATAATAAGATTTGAGTTCATTTTATAGTTTTCACCAAATTTGTTACATTCAAGGCTTCTCTCCTGTGGGACCTTTTTTTGGGCAAAAGATTCTTGTCCTAAATGTCTCTGCTGATTTTCTTGATTAAATTCCAACTGGTAATCAAAATCCCAGAGTCCTCCTAGAAGGGAGTACCAGAAACTATCTCCTGTTAATCTCTCCATTATCATGTTATAGGTCTGAGTTTCATCAGAAACATTCTGGTATGGAGTTGATTTTTTGACTTCAGGTCTATTTCCTGCATCTAAAAGAAGTTCAGAACAAATTAAGAAAAACAAATTGATAGTTACAAAATAGTCATGGTAATGAAAAGTACAGCATGGAGCATATCTATACTAGTAAAAGGGTAATATATTAATTAGACCAGATATCTTCCAGACATCCTTCTGGACAAAGCCACGGTGATGGGGGCCAAGACAGAGGCAGTTAGGGGTAATCCAGGCCAGCAGGCGAGGGCAGTTATGGGTGACCAGGCAGACAGGCAGAGTGATTAGGGGCGATCAAGCAGGCAGGTGAGCGGTTAGGAGCCAGCAGTCTGGGATTGTGAGAGAGATGTCCGACTGTGGGATTGGGGCTAAACTGGCAGTTGGATATCCCCTGAGAGGTCCCGGATTGTATAGGGTGCAGGCTGGGCTAAGGACCCCCCCCACTCACACACAGATTTCATGCACTGGGTCTCTAGTATTCAATGTAATAATAACTACATATGGTTCCAGGTACTAATAAAAAAACAGTTTATAGCAAAATATTTCTAATGACAAAAAAGAAAAGAAACTCAGAACATACTAATACTTTGCAGCATTCTTTTTTTTAAATTAAATATATTTTATTGATTTTCCACAGAGAGGAAGGGAGAGGGATAGTTAGTCGATGAGAGAGAAACATCCATCAGCTGCCTCCTGCACCCCCTCCCCCACTGGGGATGTTCCCGCAACCAAGGTACATGACCTTGACTGGAATTGAACCTGGGACCTTCCAGTCTGCAGACTGACGCTCTATCCACTGAGCCAAACCGGTTTCGGCTGCAGCATTCTTTGTTTAAAAAAACTGTTGCATAATGAGTTACCAAATAAAACTAATAATAATGCAAACAAGTCATTTGTGCCATTGGAAAGTTTTAAAATTTGGCCATGTAACAATATGACGGGGTATAAAAAGATGATGAGTAGTAAATTAGAGGAAAATTTAAAACATGTGTGGTAACCATGAAAGGAAGAGATCAAATTGGAAAGAAATGGAAAGGAGAATAAGAAGTGGAAAGGAGAATAAGAAATGTCAGAGAGCCAGGACCGGTTTGGCTCAGTGGATAGAGCGTCGGCCTGCGGACTGAAGGGTCCCGGGTTCGATTCCAGTCAAGGGCATGTACCTGGGTTGCGGGCACATCCCCAGTAGGGGGTGTGCAAGAGGCAGCTGGTTGATGTTTCTCTCTCATCGACGTTTCTAACTCTCTGTCCCTCTCAATTCCTCTCTGTGTAAAAATCAATAAAATATATTAAAAAAAAAAAAAAAAAAAAAAAAGAAATGTCAGAGAAATGTCTGTGCTTAGATGTGGGAGGTATTATCTGTGATTTATTCTATTCTAAGGACAGCTAACTTATTTTAAAAGCATTTCTTCATATTTTAAATATTTTTGTTGTTGTTAATCCTCACTTGAGGATATTTTTCCATTGATTTTTAAAGAGGGTAGAAAGGAGTGAGGGAGAGAGGAATGGAGGGAGTGAGAAACATCAATGTGAGAGAGACATCAATTGGTTGCTTCCTGAATGCTCCCTGACCAGGATGGGGATCAAACTTGCAACCCAAGCACATGCCCTTGACTGGAATTGAACCTGCGACCCTTTGGTGCTAGTACTTATGGTGTAATCATAGAGCAACACCTGCCATGGCTGTATTTTTTAAAAATATATTTTATTGATCCTTTTACAGAGAGGAAGGGAGAGAGAGAGAGAGCCAGAAACGTTGATGAGAGAGAAACACCGACCAGCTGCCTCCTGCACACCCCCCACCGGGGATGTGCCCGCAACCAACGTACATGCCCTTGACCGGAATTGAACCTGGGACCTTTCAGTCCGCAGACCGACGCTCTACCACTAACCAAACCGGTTTCGGCCATGGCTGTATTTTTAATTGTTTGTTTAAAATGACAAAAATAATGATCGCTTATAGTAATATATTCAAATAATATGGAAATACATAAAGAATTCCATCCCTTAAAGGTGATCATTATTAATAGTTTGGGCTTATCTTGCCAGATTTTTCCTATGTTCAGACAAATACAAATATAAACTGTATCTTGAACAAGCATGACTCATATAATAGAAATAATAATAGAAAAGTTTGAAATATGGTGAAAATTACCAAATTGCGATAAAAACAAAATTTCATTTCAGTCTCCTACCACTTTAAAATTTGTTTAGTGGGCGTATTCTTCCTCTGCTTCTACATGAAGATTTGGACAATTTCCAGGACTCTCTTTAATTCTTATGTAACAGATACCCGTTACATTGTCATAATGCAGTCTCTATTGAGCAATTAAAATGTTCAGTCACATGTAACAGTGAAAATCCAAAATTAACCCTTTTCCTCTTTCCTGGGTCTGTGACAGAGTCATATTCTTTCTTGTCTCTCCTTGCCTGCCTATTCTCCCACTCTTCTCTCTTCCTGTTCATCCTTCCCCTGACTCTGCTGTCTCCATGCTAGTCTTTTTCTGACTCTGTTCTCCTCGTTCCCCATTTAACTATTTCCATGCTCACCTCTTCCTTCACTCACTACTGTTGTTTCGTTCCACTCTAACAAAAATTGAAGAGAGGAGGGATTAAGAGATAGGACAATTTTTGTATGACTGGGTGGCTTCATATTCCCAGGTTAGCAGATGGTTAAGCTGACTCACTTTGGAAACCTCTGTGGATCTTGGGAGGCTCTCTCACCTGTCATTTCCATGATCTATATATTTCTATATTGGGCAGCCCCTTGGGACCAGCCCAAGAGCATAAACCTATTGGCCAAGATCCAAGCTCATGCTGCTGACTCCTGCATAAAAAACATTCACGATACCTTGCCCCAACAGACCTGTGTAGTAGTGCACGCTGATCCCAAGTCATCAGCTTCTCCTGGCTCACTCATCAAAGCCATTTCATTAGCCAGCTGTTGCTGGGCCTTGAACTGATTTAGCTTTCTCAAATGTGAGTCAGGTGCTAGTCTTTTTTCTTTTTTTAAATATATTTTAATTTTGTACAGAGAGGAAGAGAGATAGAGAGCTAGAAACACGATGAAAGAGAGTCATCGATCAGCTGCCTCTTGCACACCCCTCACTGGGGATATGCCCGCAACCAAGGTACACGCCCTTGACCGGAATCGAACCCGGGTCTCTTTGGTCCCCAAGCCAACGCTCTATCCATTGAGTCAAACCTGTCTCGGCCAGGTGCTAGTCTTGATCTTCTGACTGTAGGGAATGTACAAGCATCCCGCATTTTATTGCACTCCACTTTATTGCACTTTGCAGATAATGCAGCTTTTGCAAATTGAAGGTTTGTGGCAACTTTACCCAGAGCATGTCTACCAACACCATTTTCCCAACAGCATTTGCTTACTTCATGTTTTTGTGTCACATTTTGGTAATTTTCACCATATTTCAAACTTTTCTATTATTATATTTATTATGGTGATCTGTGATCAGTGATCTTTGATGTGACTATTGCAATTGTTTTGGGGTGCCATGAACTACCTTTGTAAGATAGAGAACTTATCTACAAATGTGTGTGTTCTGACTGTTCCACTGGCGACCATTCCTCTATTGCTCTCCTCCTTGAGCCTCCCTATACCTTGAGACACAACAATATGGAAATTAGGCCAACTAGTAACCCTAAAATGGCAACTAAGGGTTTAAGTGAAAGGAAGAGTTGCACATCTCTCACTTTAAACACTAGAAATGATTAAGCTTAGTGAAGAAGGCATGTTGAAACCTGAAATAGGCCAAAAGTTAGGCTCCCTGTGCCAGTTGGTTAAGTTGTGAATGTAAAGAAAAAGTTTTTAAAGGAAATGAAAAGTGTCACTGCAGTGAACACAAATAATAAGAAAGAGAACAGCCTTACTGCTGATATAAAGTTTTAGTGGTTTGGATAGAATATCAGACTAGCCACAAGATTCTCTAAACCAGAACCTAATCCAGAGCAAGGCATTACCTCTCTTCAGTTTTACTGAAGGTCAAGAAAGTGAGAAAATTGCAGGGAAAAAACCTGAAGCTTAGCAGAGGTTGGTTCATGAAGTTTAAGGAAAGAAGTCATCTCCATAACATAAAAGTGCACAGCGAAACTGCAAGTGCTGATGTAGAAGCTGCAGCAGATTATCCAGAAGACCTAGCTAAGATGATTAGTGAGGGGGCGACACCTAACAGATTTTCAATGCAGATGAAACAGCCTCATATTGGAAGATGTCATCTAGGACTTCATAGCTAGAGGAGAAGTTAATGCCTAGCTTCAAGACTTTTTTTAAAAATTTTTATTAATATATTTTATTGATTTTGTACAGAGAGGAAGGGAGAGAGAGAGAGGGTTAGAAACATCGATGAGAGAGAGTCATCGATCAGCTGCCTCTTGCACACCCCCTACTGGGGATATGCCCGCAACCAAGGTACATGCCCTTGACCGGAATCGAACCCGGAACCTTTCAGTCCCCAAACCGACGCTCTATCCATTGAACCAAACCGGTTTCGGCCTAGCTTCAAGACTTTAAAGGACAGGCTGACTCTCTTGCTAAAGGCTAATGCAGCTGGTGATTTTAAGTTGAAGCCAGTGCTCATTTACCTTTCTAAAAATTCTAGGGCCCTTAAGAATTAGCTAGATCTACTCTGCCTGTGCTCTATAAATAGAGCAACAAAGCTCGAATGGCAGCATGCTTGCTTACAACATGGTTTACTGAATATTTTAAGCCCTCTGTTGAGACCTACTACTCAGATAAAATGCTTCTTTTCAAAATATTACTGCTTATTGACAATGCACCAAGAGCTCAGATGGAAATGTACAATGAAAGTAATGCTATTTTCATGCTTGCTAATGACAGTGGGGAAGGGCATGTAGTAAGAATAGAGCCATAGTTGTCTAATAATTATTCACCTTACTAACTATAGATAAGTTTTCTAACAGACCCTGGGAAACTGGAGGGTGAAACAAGGCTGTAAAAAGATAAGATGCCTCGATGGGCCCATCACTCAGAAAATAAATACATTTTGAGAACAGACCAAGGACAGGACATTTTGATTTGGTTGCTGTGACTGGACCCTGACCCCTCCGGGAGTTTTTCTCAGGAATGCTTACCATTCTCTGGTCCCAGGATCGGGCTGAACTGCTTGTAACATCATAGAAAATTAGCAACTTTGTTATTGGACTTTGAGCCCCTGAAGGCTGGACTTCAGACCTTCCCCTCCCCTTTCCATGTTACACGTAGCTATCTTCTCCCTCATTCGTATATAATCAGCCACCTGGCAAGGGGGAGTGAGATCAGAATTTCCAGGGTAATGGGCTGTTCTCCCCATACTGCCGGCATTATTGGAATAAATGCTCATACATGATTCAACCTTGTCTCTGCTTACTGTAATTTGGTTCAAGTAGTGACAGGCAGCCTCGGTTTAGAGCACATTGTGTCCAGTTTCACTAACACAGAATACATTCTGTAGCCCATGAATCAAGACGTAATTTTAACTTTCAGGTCTTACTATTTAAGAGGTATAACTCATAAGGCCATAGCTGACACAGATGGTGATTCCTCTGATGGATCTGGGCAAACTAGTTGAAAACCTTCTGAAAAGGATTCATCATTGTAGAAGCTATAATGAACATTCGTGATTCATGGGAAGAGTTCTAATATCAACATTAACAGGAGTTTGGACAAAGTTGATTCTAACCCTCATGGATGATTTTATTTTATTTTAAAAAAATATATTTTTATTAATTTTAGAGAGGAACGCAGAAGGAAAGAGGGACAGAAACATCAATGATGACAGAGAATCATTCATCATCTGCCTTCTGCACACCCCCTACAGGGGATTGAGCCTGCAACTCGGAATGGGAATGTGCCCTAAACCGAAAACAAACTCAGGAACCTTCAGTCTGCAGGCTGACGCTTTATTCACTGAGTCAAACTGGCTAAAGGCCTCATGGAAGGTTTTAAGGGGTTCAAGACTTCACTGGAGGAAATAATTGCAGGTGTGCTGGGAAACTGCAGGAGGTCTAGAGTTAGATGTGGAGCCTGAGGATGTGACTGAATTGCTGCATTCTCATGATAAAACTTTATCGGATGAGGAGTTGCTTCTTACAGATGAGTAAAAAAAGTGGATTTTGAGATGAATCTTCTCCTAGTGAAGATGTTGTGAAGCCCGTTTAAATTACAACAAAGGATTTAGAATATTACATAAACTTAGTTGACAAAGCAGAAGTGGGGTTTTCAGAGGATTGACTCCAGTTTTGAAAGAAGCTCTAATGTAGGTAAATTGCTATTCAAAGAATATTGCACGCTACAGAGAAATCATTTGTGAAAGGAATGGTCTTGATGCGGCAAACTTCATTGTTGACTTAATTTAAGAAACTACCACAGCCACCCCAAACTTCATTCAACAACCAATACCCTGATCAGTCAGCAGCCACTGACTTTAGTAAACTACAGCAAGTGCTTCTCAAGATCTCTACTTGGCCTCCCGATTCCTTTATATTCAACAGAGGACTTTGCCTCCTACTTTGCCAAGGAAACAGAAATATCCATGTGTGAACTCCTCCAAATCTGCCACAAACAAATCATCCTATTCTCTTTATCTTCAAACCCACTCACACGTCTTCCATACTCATGATCCATCTTTTGTATCTATTTTCTACTTACTTGCTCTACTGACTCCTTCCCTTCAGCATTATGATAACCTAGAATCAATTGTGCAGAACAATTCTCGTTTGACATTACCTTCTTATTCCAGCAAAATCCTCTTTATCGTCCCAGCTTCTCATTCTAGCTTCTTGTGAGAGTACTGTACACTTAATAGCTCTATTTTTTTTTTTTTTACCCCTTTTCACTGGACTTTGTACACAAATTGATTGCTTTTCTAATCACTCCCCTGTCATCTCTCTTGTTACTATAATTACTAACTTCTTTGTTGATAAACCCATTGGACACTTCCTAGGTCTCATTTATAATAGGAAGAGATTTCTAAATAAACAGACATCAGCCAATGCCAATGACAATGAGGCAAGCAATATCCTAGAGAGTACATCAGAATAAGAGCACAAAAGCCAGATCATTCTAACTGTCCTGTGGTCAACAGAAATGTCCTGCCACATTCTCATTAGAGAAACCCTTTATTGTGTCCATAGGATAATGCAAAAACAGACTCCAGAGGAGACTGCTAGCCTGCCTGTCGGTGACAAGGAGGATGTGAAAAATCCCTTGTTCAAGCTGATTTATGAATCAAGAGCCTTGTGTATCCACATATAGATGCATAATGGTGTCTGCACATTTTCCCCAGTTAGCAATTATTTTCTCTAGTTGAGGGCAGTCTGTAGGTAGGGACAAAATGGGAGGCAGTGTGGATCCTGCACATGGCCACATATGTACCCTTGGGAAAGACTAGCTCTGCCTTCTGCTATAGGTTCCTACCCTGGCAATTCCCCTGCAAAGGAAGTTTTTCTTTTCTTCCTTTAGTTTCTTATTCCCTGGGATCCATGCATGGAGGTTCATAGAAATAATGTCACCCACTGTTGTCAGGGAAGGGCTAGGGGCTCTTGACAAAATGTTTTAATTATCAGCCTTTACCGATGGAATGCCAGCACTAGTCAGGCCAAAATTCAGGTTCAGGTTCAGTGAGGCTTGAATAGGAACAAAGTTTTCTGCCAAAGACAATCTACAGCACTAAAAGCAAGAAGCACAGCCAAGGCAGTCATATTGAAAAAGCAGTAGCTTGGCTAAAACCGTTTTGGCTCAGTGGATAGAGTGTCAGCCTACGGATTGAAAGGTCCCAGGATAGATTCCAGTTAGGGCATGTACCTTGGTTGTGGGCACATCCCCAGTGGGGGGTGTGCAGGAGGGAGCTGATTGATGTTTCTATCTCATCGATGTTTCTGGCTCTCTGTCCCTCTCCCTTCCTCTCTGTAAAATAGCAATAAAATATATTAAAAAAAAGAAAAAGAAAAAAAAAGAAAAAGCATAAGCTTGAATGAAACAAAACCAAGTTCAAATGATGAAATATACTGCCAGTACAAAGAATCAGAGTCGTGAACCAGAGAGATGGGGCAGGTTAGTTTGACTAAGTGAATCAGACTGGAATATAGAATTCAGGTAGCAATCAACTATTTGCTAATATAACCCAGGCAGATCATTGTAGGTGTTAATCTAACAATCAGGAAATTAAGAGGTTTTTATTTTGGCCAAGAAGTCTTATATTTAGTGGGATATTTTAAAAAAGAGAGTATAAAGTCAACAGATTGAGGTTTTGAAATACAGCATTTACTTAAAATAGCATGACATTCATAAACCAAAATATAACCTAAAATCTGGAAAGAGAATGTGGGTGAAATACTTAGACTAGAAATGTAGAAATTGGGAAACTAACATTTAAGTCTACTTAAAAGCATTGTACTAGAGAATGGGACACCAATCTATAGGAATACACATCTTTAGAAGAATAAGGAGGGAGAGAAGGAAGTACAGGAGCAGGTAAAGATACAGGAGAAAGGTTGAAAGAGGCAAGAGTAGTGTATATTGCCGGGACCGGTTTGGCTCAATGGATAGAGCGTCGGCTTGGGGACTGAAGGGTCCCGGGTTCGATTCAGGTCAAGGGCATGTACCTTGGTTGCGGGCATATCCCCAGTAGGGGGTGTGCAAGAGGCAGCTGATCGATGACTCTCTCTCACTGATGTTTCTAACTCTCTATCTCTCTCCCTTCCTCTCTGTACAAAAATCAATAAAATATATATTTACTGTTGCTTACCATTAAAAAAAAAAAAAGAGTATATTATGAGTCAAGAGTAGAAGAAAATTTCAAAAAAATGAAGTCAATACAATAAAAAACAAGATCACAGGAGACAATGATGGTGGTTTTTTAGCCACTGGATTTGACTGGAAGGAAGTCAGTAGTAATCTCCCAGAAAAAAATTTTAGTGACACAAGCAGGATATATCACAAAGGTGAGCACGAGAATAAGAACCAGGGTTATGGGTTTCAGATGATTTTTAAAAAATTGATAATGAAAGGAAAAGAAAAAACTAAAAAGTAGGTAAAAATGGCAGAGACATGGAAAAGAAAGATTTAAAGACTACCAAGAAATAGAATAAATAAAAAATAAATTTTATTTATTTATTATTTCTATAAATAGAAAATGCTATGTGGAGTTGTGCAAATGCTATTTGCAACATCAAGGCATTTGTGTACATTCCAACTAACACCTTCAAAATAACTTTTGTGCTGGGCTAATTTTTTAATTATTAGCATATATTATGTTTAATCAGAAAAAAATAAAAGAGCCATTTCCACTTTGTGAAAAAGTAAAATATATACTAGATTTTAAAAGTGTTCAGTATTCTTTAAATCCAGAGAGAGATATTTGTAGCACACTCAGGTGGGTATTTCAAAAGTGACTATTTCCCTTCACTCAGTGGCAAATGTTAAAATGCTTGCTTCTCACCTGGACGAGTGTCCACTGGGCTGTCTGTTTCCATCAGACACTGCTCTTCTTGCTCCAACTGAGTGATCACCTCGGGCTTATAAAGTTGATGACCTATTCATGGGGAAAATTTATTTCAGAAGTTTATATTGGAAACAAAGAAATTTTTAGTCTTAAAAGGCAGCAAAATAAAGAGTCCACCTCAAATTCAACAAAGTCAAGACTTCTTACCTGAGGAGAAAGAACAGGACACAAAGGTCTCTATGAAACTGATGAGCATTCTTCTGTCCCAGCCTGAACTATATTCACAAAAGCTTAGGAGGTTTTACTTGAGAAAATAGAGCAGTCCCCCCTTATCCCTGGTTTCACTTTTTGCAGTTTCAGTTACCCACGATCAATCATGGTCCAAAAATATTAAATGAAAAACTCCAGAGACAAATAATTCAGTTTCATTTTTTATTTACTTTTATTTTTTAACTTAAAATATTTTTATTTCTTTCAGAGAGGAAGGGAGAGAAGGAGAGAGATAGAAATATCAATGATGTTTGAGAATCATTGATGGGCTGCTTCCTGCATGCCCCCTACTGGGGAGCAAGCATGTGCCCTGACTAGGAATCGAACCGTGACCTGCTGGTTCAACACCTGAAGCACACTAACTGGGCTATTTTTTTTTTAACCTTTTAAATTAAAGTTATTGGGGTGACATTGGTTAATAAAATTATATAGGTTTCAAGTATACAGTTCTAAGGTGCATCATCTGCTTATTGCATTGAGTATCTACCACCCAGAGTCAAATCTCCTTCCATCACCATCTTTTGACCCCTTTACCCTTTACCCCCCCCATCCCCCTTCCCTCTGGTAGCCACCATGTTGTCTGCATATATAGGTTTTGTATATTTGTTTGTCTTATTTGTTCATTTGTTGCTTTTAGTTTTATATCCCACATCTGAGTGAAGTCATTTGGTTCTTGACTTTTTCTGACTTACTTTGCTTAGCATGATATTCTCAAGATCCATCCATGTTTACCATACTGTTGTTTATGAGGTGTTTTTTGTTGTTTAATCTCTTCATCTTTTTCACTCAGCCCCCCTGCTCCCTCCCTGCTGACAGCTATGAGTCTGTTTCTATTTTGTTTGTTAATTTATTTTGTTCATTAGATTCCACATAAGTGGAATCACATGGTGTTTGTCTGTCTCTAACTGGCTTATTTCACTTAGCATAATACATCCCAGAAACTGTGATAAAATCTTGCACCATCACCTCTATCTCGCCTAGGACATGAATCATCCCTTTGTCCAGCATATTAACATTGTAGATGCTCCAGGCCTATTAGTCACTTGGTAGGCATCTTGGTTATCAAATCAACTGTCTTGGTATCAAAGTACTTGTGCTCTGGTAACAGTTACTTTACCCAACTATGGTAGTGATGTTGACAATTCAAATATACTGAATAAAAGCCATAAAGTTCTTTCTTCAAGTAAAAAGGCAAAAGTTCTCAACTTAATAAGGAAAAGAATTATATGCTGAGATTGTTTAGATTTATGGTAGAAGCTCATTTTCTATCCATGAAATTGTGAAGAAAAAAGAAATTCGTGCTAGTTTTGTTGTCACATCTCATGCTGGAAAACAAATCAGTTTCACTAAAAAAGAGATGTTGACAGGAAGCCAGGAAGGCTGGTAAACAACCTTAATTGCTCTAACCTTTAGTTGAGATATTGTTAGCTGAAGCAGAATCTACCTTGTTTGTTCCGTGAAAGTTTCTGTTATTTCCTGCCTAAAGGCTACATGTAAATTTCTGTTGCCTAAGATGTTTTCCCCAAAGCCTCAAGAAAAGGGGATGGAAGGGCTGGAGCAGGTAGTAGTTCTCCCACTAGAGTTGGACTACTGCTTGGCCCCCCATATCGCCAAATTGAATTTCTTCAAGTCTCTTTTCATTTGTGTGTGGCCCTTCTCCAGAACCCGAACCCTGAATTGGAACTTTTTCTACGCTGGCTGTGAAAGACAGTCCTATAACCTCAAACCACAAAAGTTATGGCCAGAGTATGAAAGTGCTTAGTTCAGATGGATGAGGCATTAAACTTTATCATAGGTATGAATGAATAGGAAAAACATAGTATATGTAGGATTCAGTACTAGCCATGGTTTCAGGCATCCCCTGCAGATAAAGGGGGGGAGGGGGAACTACTATAAACCCACAGGAATGGCTTCCAGTTCTACAGGGATATCATCCTTACCCAGAGCGACCAAATTCCTGTAGTTTTCTAGCATCACATCTCGGTAGAGGTTCTTCTGAGCAGGGTACAGCTGGTCCCACTCCTCTCTGGTGAAGTCCACAGCCACGTCCTGGAATGTTAGGGACTCCTGAAACATCAAGTACATCCCTGCTCAGCCAGAAATAGTTTTTTAAAAAACTGAGCCCTCAGGTGAAGGAGCAAAAAGGTACAGCAGGAGACAAAGGTTAAGAAGAATTTTCAGTAACCACCAGAGGGTCACCATGATGACAGCAACCAGTACCCCATCTTGGTCTGGTGCCTCGACTCACCTGCTCTACCATCCTGCTGTGGCTGACACCTGCCATATTCTGTACCCACCCCCTGGTGGTCAGTGAACATCATAGCAACTGGTTGTTCAGTTGTTCTGCCATTCAGTCTATTTGCATATTAGGGTTTATATATAAAGATAATATACATTTCAATTTGCAATTTATTATTATACTAGAGGACTGATGCAGCTGCAGCTGCCTTGGCCCCTGCAGCCCCATCCCAGCTTCATCCAGAAAGTCGCCTGGATGTGGTCTGGAAGGTTGTCCAGACGGTTGTTCTACTGTTCAGTTTAATTAGCCTATTAGCTCTTTATTATATGGGAATGGCTCTCTCTGTTTAACTATAAGCCACTTGGGTTTAGGACCATGTTTGTTTTGCTCACTGATATATATCTGATGCCATGCATAATTTCTGGCACACAGTAGCTGCTCAATAATATTTGTTGAAGGAATGAATCATCTTCTTTTGTAACACAATAAATGGTTCTGGAAAATTAAAACAAAATCCTCTGGCTAGAGAACCAAGAGGCACATATGCCACATCAGTTCTCATGTCTTTTTGGTCCTGTCTGTGGGGGACCTTATAATTAAACATAAACTGAATGAATCTATTCCTTGCAGACCCAAGATCCCAAAGTACTAATGCACCAAATAAATGCTCAGCTCTAGCTATTAGTCTCCTTACTGTCTCAGCTCTTGCTCAAGTTTTATTTCCTTTTGCAATGGTTGCCTTCTCTAATTTCCAAACCCTACCTGATATCAGCACACATTAAAACTCTGCCTTCTTCATAAAGTCTTCCCTTGTCCCTCTAGTTTCAGTCAGATTTCTCCCTTGTATTTATCTCTTGCATGCATAACAGCATCCAACATTATACTTACAGTTTCTGAATATTAATTGTGTGATGCAGGCTTTTAAAAATCTCTTCCAATGAATTTATTTGCTATGAATAGATAATGATTATCTCATAGAATTTAAGACAATAGAAGTCCTCTATGTGAAGCAACTAAGACTTATATCTCATATGGTAAGCAAAAAAGCTGGTTAGAGATCCATAAAAGGTATCTTAAACATTTTATTTTAATTTAAAATATATACATGTATAATTTTGGTTCACCTTTTGATGTAAAGTTAAGCTTTGTCTATGAGAGTGATTTTAATGACTGAGTGTCCAAACCCATAATGCATCAGTTTCTGGTTCATTAAAGTGGAACAAGCAATGACACTTGGGAAATAATGTAGGCATAGAACCCTCTAAGATGTTTATGATTTTTCCATCTGTGTTTTACAGTTTTGCTCACACCTAATTTTACAGCAATATTCTAAAAATGTCATTTAATGAATCTTTCCAAAACATTCAACTAATTTTCATAAAAACAAAGTTATATCTCCTCAGTTTACATAATATTTAATCAAAGTATAGAATTGATAACAACAGGCTTACACAGGTTTTGGGGAAGTTGTAACAGGTTCTGGATAAAAATTAACTGTGGCAGCAGATGTCCTCAGGCATACTTGATAAGGCCATTAGTTCCAAGCAGTCACAGTGACCTGGGCATCCTTCATTGCTTACAGTGTGGTTGGAATTCTGGTGAGCTGTGTAAGTGAAGGGTGATTATAAAGCAGTCTATGGCTTTATTTTATTTTGCATTTTTCAATAGCACTGACATGAGTACTTGATCTGGTAAAAATGCTGGAGGGAAAAAGAGCTGTAAAGGAGTATATAAGGTAGATGGGTAACATCCAATAGAGATTATAATCTGTCACAAGAGTTTCAAGGGCTCTGGAGTTTTGGAGTTTCTATTCTGAGAATAGAAGAGTAAAAATGCCAAATTCTGAGGACTATAATAGTATTTTAGAGGAGAGTAAAACTAAACTTACCTTGGACCTGACTATCTGTGATCTATCATTCATTTCCTTCTGTTCCATGTTCCCCTCCTGAAAAAGTACAGCATTCTGAGAAGGCATAACTGGGAAAAAGAGAAAAAAAAAGCATCTTGACAATACATGGTATTAAGATTGAACCTAAAACTTGGAGCTTTTGCTTTATGTTAGGATGACAGACTATTTATTTATTTATTTATTTATTTATTTATTTATTTAAAATATATATTTTTATTGATTTTTAGAGAAAGAGGAAAGAGGAAGGGGGGTGTGCAGGAGGCAGCTGGTCGATGTTCCTTTCTCATCGATGTTTCTGGCTCTCTGTCCCTCTCTCTTCCTCTCTGTAGAAAATCAATAAAATATATTAAAAACAAAACAGAACAAAACAAAAGACCCTTCGACCCTTCACTGAGTACATAACCCTTTGCAACTACCAAAACCCTTTCTTTTTCAAGGCCACACTTTTCAAAGGATTGTCCATATTTGTGTCCACATCCTCATTACCCACTGATTTTTCAATTATCTATAATCTTGCTTCTGTTCTGCTGTCAGAACTCCACTGAAATTTCTCTGGTTAGTAATATTAAAAACAAACAAACCTTTGGTTGCTCATGCAATAGACCTCATAATTAAGTGTTGAAGGTATCTGACATTGCTAACAGTTGTGTCTTGCTTTACTTCCATGGTGTCTCTCAGTGGGCTATGCTCTAATCCCTTTTCCTCTGCCTACCATTTATATATTGTTTTTTCTTATAATTTTCCAAAATATATTCTTGTCCTCTCACAGTTGAAGGAAAGGAATTTTTAAAAGATATAAACCATACCTAAAAAGAAGAGTTCACTTCCTAAATGTCAAGGCAGAGAAACAATCCATCTGCCTTGGTAACAAAGTAGCTCAGAAAAACAATGAAAACTCTCCAGAAACCAAACTCAAACACATGGAAAACTGTGATTTAAATGACAGAGAATTCAAGATTGTAGTTTTGAAAAAACTCAATAATATACAAGAAAACTCAGAAAAGCAATTCAATGAGCTCTGGAATAAAACAAATGAACAAAAGAAGTACTTTACCAAAGAGATTGAAACTATAAGATGAATCAAAATATAAATCCTTGGGCTGAAGAACTCAATAAATGAGATGAAGAATGAATCAGAGAGAATGGGGAATAGAGAAGACCAGATGGAAGAGAGAATTAGTGGGCTCTAACACAGAAATATAGAAATGACTCAGGAGGAGGAAGAGAGAACATTGAGAGTTGAAAAAAGATGAAAAAACGCTGTGAGAATTGTGAGAACTATTTGATTCCATTAGAAAAAGCAATATAAGAATAATGGGTATGCCAGAAGGAGAAGATGGGAGAAAAGAACAGGAGCCTATCCAAACAATTAATGAGAACTTCCAAAACCCAGACAAAGAGCTGAACTTTTGCATTCAAGATGCTTTCAGAACACCTAATTATCTCAATGCAAAAAGACCTCCAAGACCCATTATATTAAAGCTGTCAGAAGGTAGTGACAAAGAAAGAAATCTTCAGGCAGCCGGGTAAATAAGACAGTAACCTATAAAAGAGAACCCATTAGATTATCATCATATTTTTCAGCAGAAACTTTACACGATAGGAGAGAGTGGAATAAAATATTTAAAAATTTAAGAGAGAAACTATCATGAATAATTTATCCAGAGAAGCTAGCCCTTATATATGAAGGAGAAATAAAGACTTTTCCCAACAAAAGCTGAGGGAATTTACCACAATACCTGCAATTCAAGAAATGTTGAAAAGATTTACCAGAAATAAAAAGATATGAAACTCTGAGTAAGAATGCAAACACACAGACAAAGGAAGGAAATTACAACTCTATTTCAGAATAGTGTTTTAATCATTTAATTATAACTTAATTGTTAAAAGGAAAAGGCACTTAAAAGTCTCTAATTTGGAAATGAACACAGCATAAAATGAGGTAATTTGTTACAACAAGAACATAAAAGATAAAGGGGAAAGGGCTGAACTTGCATAAGAGAATGAAGACGATACAATCAGAAAAAAGGACTATTATTATGTTTGAAACTTTTTTTTTTTACATAACCTGATGATAACCACACACACAAATCTGGAGTTGAGACAAATAACATAAAAAAAAATAAATAAAACAGAAGAAAAACTCATAGAAAGTCACCAAGTAATATAGCAGACAGAAACACAAGAAAAAAGAAACAATGGAGATACAGAGCCATCAGAAAACAAAAACTAAAATAGCTGTAGTAAATTCTTGTATATCAATAATCATCCTAAATGTAAATGGACAGGACACACCAATCAAAATGCAAAGTGTAGTGGGGGGAAAAAAGACCCAACTATATGCTTCCTTCAGAAGACCCATCTCAGCTACAGACAAACATAGGCTCAAAGTGAAAGGGTGCAAGATGATACTTCAAGCAAATGGTATCCAGAGAAAAGTGAGGGTTTCCGTACTTAGAAAATAATAGGTTTCAAGATAAATGTAACAAATGACAAAGATGAATATTTTTTTTAATATATATTTTATTGATTTTTTACAGAGAGGAGGACAGAGGGATAGAGAGCTAGAAACATTGATGAGAGAGAAACATTGATCAGCTGCCTCTTGCACACCTCCTATTGGGGATGTGCCCGCAACTAATGTACATGCCCTTGAACAGAATCGAACCTGGGACCTTTCAGTCTGCAGACCGATGCTCTACCACTGAGCCAAACCGGTTTCGGCGACAAAGATGAACATTTTATAATGTTAAAAAGGACAGTTCATCAAGAAGACATAACACTTATTAGTATATATGCACCAATGCTGGACATACCAAAATTATAAAGCAATCGCTAACAGAATTAAACAGAGAAAAATGACAAAAACACAATTATAGTAAGGGACCCGAATACTCCATTGACAGCACTGGATGGATCATCCAAACAGTAAATAAGTAAGGAAATATTAGCCATAAATGACACATTAGACCAAATGGGTGTGATCAATATTTACAGAGCTTCCCATCCCCAAATGACACAATATACATTTTTAAGTGTGCTTGAAACATTCTCAAGGATAGACTATTTGTTTGGGCACAAAGCTTGTCTCAATAAATTTAAGAATACCGAGATCATACCAAGCATAAATTTTTCCAGAAAAAATATTTCTTTTATGATTTTAGTACAACCTAAATTCTCAAACTAAATTAGGGCAATGGATAAAAACACAATTCCATGTTCTTCCCTAGGTGATACATCTATAATAAATTGTGGTACATCCAGACAATAAGACACCACTGAGCGATTCAAAAAAAGCGAGACAGCAAGCCATGAAAAGACATGCAAGAACCCAATGCACAACGCCAAGCAAAGAGGCCAATGTAAAAGGGCCACACAGCCTGGCCGGCATGGCTCAGGGGTAGGGGGTTGACCTATGAACTAGGAGGTCAGGGTTCCATTCCTGACCCGTGCTGAATCTCCAGTGATTCCATACTGTTTCCCACAACAGCTGCACCGATCTGCATTACTACCAACACTGCATGAGGGTTTCCTCTTCTCCACAAACTTGCCAACACGTGTTGTTTGTTGATTTTTTGATAATATGCATTCTGACAGGTGTAAGGTGATATCTCACTATGATTTTAATTTGCATTTCTTTGATTAGTGACACTGAGCATCTTTTCAAATGGCTATTGGCCATCTGTACGTCCTCTTTGAAGAACTGTGTATTCAAATCTTTGCCCATTTTTAAAATTGATTGATGGTTTTTGTGTGTGTGTTGAGTTATATAAATTCTTTACAAATTTTGGATATTAACCTCTTAGCAGATGTATCATTGGCAAATATGTTCTACCATTCAGTGGGTTGTCTTTTCATTTTGTTGATGGTTTCCTTTGCTGGGCAAACTTTTTAGTTTGAGGTAATCCCACTGGTTTATTTTTTCTTTAGTTTTCCCTTGCCCGAGGCCACATATATCAGAAAAGTATTGCTTTGAAAAATATCTGAGATTTTACTATGTTTTCTTTTAGGGTTTTTATGCTTTTGAGTCTAACACTGAAATCTTTAGTAAGTTTTTAGTTTATTCTTTTGTATAGTGTAGGAAGATGGTCTAGTTCCATTTTTTTTTTTTTTTGCACATACCTGTCCAATTTCCCCAATATCATTTATTGAATAGACTGTCTTTACCCCATTGTATGTTTTGCCACCTGTCTCAAATATTAATTGACCATAAAGGTGTGGGTTTATATCTGGGCTCTCTATTCTGTACCATTGATCTAAATGAGTTTTTTGCAAGTACCATGCTGTCTTGATTACTATGATCGTATAGTGTAGTTTGATATCAAGTAGCATGATTCCTCCAACTTTGTTCTTCTTTCTCAAGACTGCTGTAGCTATTCAGGGTCTTTTGTGTTCTATATAGAGTTTTGGAATATTCATACTTCTTATGTAAAATACACCATTGATAGGAATTGTGTTGACTCTATAGATTGAGTAGTATAGACATTTTAATGATGTTAATTCTTCCTATTCATGAACATGGTATATACTTCCACTTATTTGTATCTTCTTTCTTTCTTCAGTGTCTTATAATTTTCCGAGTACAGGTCTTTCATAACCTTGGTTAAATTTATTCCTAGGTATTTTATTCTTTTTGAAGCAATTATAGATTGTTTCCTTAATTTCTTTGATAGTTCATTACTTGTGTAAAAAAGTGCAACTGATTTTTGAGTATTTACTTTGTATCCTACTATTTTACTGAATTCAGAAGTTGTAACCTGTCTATTCAGATTCTCTGATTCAGTTTTAAAAGATTATTTCTAGAAATGTATCCATTTTGTCCAGATTGTCCAATTTGTTGGTACATAGCTGTTTGTAACATTCTCTTATAATCCTTTGTATTTCTTTGGTGTCAGTTGTTACTTCGCCTCTTTTGTTCCTAATTTTATTTGCATCCTTTCTCTTTTTTTTATTGATGAGTCTAATAGTTAAAGGTCTATATTGTTATATTGCTTTCCCCCCCCCAAAAAAAAAAAAAAAAGCAGCTCTTGGTTTCATTGATCTTTTGTATTGTTTTTCTATATTCA